GGGCTGCAGAGAACGGGGAGTGCAAAGGTCTGCCCCCCATGAGACGAACCCCCCTTCCTTATTTCCCAGGATCTTCCCATTTTAGAAAGTCATCAGAAGATCTCAAGTAAAGTTGCCAGGGCAGTCATTACTCTCTGTCAGTGCAATTCGAGGCAGAGTTACTCCAAACTTTTGTTTGTAAAAAAAAAAAAAAAAAGTCCACTGGCAACTTAAAAGATTAACACAATTTGTTTCAGTAGGAGCTTTCATGAGTCACAGCCCACTTCTTTGGGTTGATATCTGGAGGGGGGGAAATCATACTGAGAAATCTTATGAGGAAGTTTTGCGGTGGTGGTGGTAGTGAGGCTGGGGCTTGGTGTGAATTACACTAGGAGTTCTAAAGCAGTCAAACCCTTTGAAACCCACTGATTTGGGTGTTCAGGACTGATTACGCATCTCCTACTAAATCGGGCCGCAGCCAGCAAGAGGAAATGTCGGGAGGTCCTGGTGAGCCATTATTTTTGGTAACAACCAGAAGTGACATGGTGGATGTGCTAGCATTTTGTGAAACCTCTACGGTTTTGCCAGCATGGGCTCACCCAGTGTCCTTCTGTGAGTCCAAAAGGCACCGGTGTGCAACAAGACAGGATGCCGGAAGGCTATAGCAGGGGGGACCGGCATCTCTAGTGTGAGGCAGATGTGGTGCCAACAGTCTCTCTGCAGCCCACACCTTCTCTGTGTTCAGGAGATTTCAGAGCCTAGGTCAAATGCGAAACAGTCTTATATGGAGTCAAACCCTACTGGCCTTCTCTACCGTCTGCTCCAGGGGGTCCGCAGTCTTTTTGATCTTGTGGGCACTTTTGGAATTCAGCCACAGCCACAAAATGGCTGCCACTGGAGGTGGAGCCAGCCACAAAATGGCTGCCATGGCTTACCTTCAGTCACACAGTGAAGATTGTTCTGCTGTGGTGGCAACTGCTGCCAAATAAATGTTTTAAAAAATCTGTACAGCCAATCAAATCTCCAATGGACAATCAGAAGCCTTTGTGAACAAAAGTGCTACCTGGCCCCACTCACTTTCTAAGAACACTTTGTGGGCGCCAGAAAAGGTGCCAGCAGCACCATTTTGTAACCCCTGGTCTACTCTGACTGGCAGTGATTTCTCTAAGAATATGAGGAAAGCTGTTTCCCAAAAATTGCTGCTGGGTTTTCTTGAGATGCCTCAGATTGAATCTAGAACCTGCTGGCTGCGAAGCATGTGCCCTTCTCCTGAGCCAACCCAGGATCTCTGGCCTTTTGTGTTGCATTTTCCCACTACAGCAAGGGTTGTCAGGTGTCCAGCTCCTTACTGGCCCTGCTCCTGAGTCACGAACAGCAGCTCGACAAAAGCAAGCGATGCTTTCCCCATCATTTCTCTCTCCATGCTAGAAGTTGGGCCAGCTAAAACGCTCCACATCAGACTGCAGCTGGAAGGCACGAGAGCAGTGCCAGAAAAAGTGAAAGGGGGATGCTCTCCGGCTCCACATGAAGCACCCAAAATTATGAAGCATTCAGCACTGGGTTTCTTAGTTAAATGTTTTGGATGCTGCGGTTTTTGAATCCCTAGTGACACCAAGCAGCACAAAAGTTGCAGTTGGGCCTCACCACATCACCTACCACCTGATCCTTTTAAAAAAATAACTGAAGATGCCAGGGATTGAACTTTTGCATGCAGAGCACATGCTCTGCCACTGAGCCACGACCTTCCTCTGACCTTTCCTAAGACTTGCTGTGACAGCTCACATTGCATGACAAATCTGCTTGCTACCTGCATGTCTCTGTTTATGGACAGATGGCTTGGACCACGGAGTCATCACCACGGGCAAACACCCAAGGTAGCTTAGCTTGTCTGAAGGCCTATGCCAGCATTCACCTCTGATAAGAACTGGCTTGGCCTCCTGCTTCCATTTCACCTTTTTGATCCTTGGACAATCACTAGATTTTGGCCCATTTGGAGAATTGTTTTGCCAGAATTCTGGCATGTATTCCTTGTGTAACTGGGGCATTGGAAATAAGGGCGAGTTCAAAGCCCAGGGCTTCCTTTCTTAAAGCCCCCCCCCCCACCTTGGCTTAAGCAAAGTAACTATTTATTACAACAGGAAAAAATACAGTTTTGCATACAAGGTATGGTACTCCCCACCCTCCCACGTCGGGGTGGAGTTCCCCCCGGGGCCTGATCCGGCGCCGCCGGGGAACAGGCCTCTGGGGCGGGGGGGGACTTGGGATCCCTATCACCATCTGAGAGAAGAAATCAGCTTGAGTTCAAGGATAGATGGTCTGAGGGCTAACTCCTCCGCAAGAAATGATTTCCATAAAGGGGGGGCCCACACCAGACAAAAACTTCTTCAGCTGAGGCCTTTCAGCGATCCAGTCCTCGGAGAGGAAAAATGACTAGGCATCATGCTCCACCCCTAGCCAGTTATCTTTTTCTTCCAATCCCTCCTACACCACTCTTCCCAATATACAAAATGAGTAGTTTCATTGCTCCACCTAACAGCCCTTATTCCTAAAGCTCTACACCTGGGCTTCCACAGCTGACCTTGGGACTGGTCACATTCAAAGAAAATGAGCTTTGCCAATGATCCTGTCTAATCTGTGGACCAATGCACCCTCTTAAAGAAGCACACACCTTAGTACAGTGGTGCACACTCATGGAGAACCACATGCACAGTTACTGGCTGTTATATTCATCTTCAGCCACGTGGGGAAGGAGTCCGCGGGGTCCAGCTGGTTCCGTGCGATCAGCCGGGCCCGCGGACAAGGTGCTGGCATTATGGAGGGGCGAGTCGCCTCCCAGCCCCTGAACGCCCTGCTGCTCAACTCCCGAGGCCTCGGGAGCTATAAGGAGTTGCTCCATAGTCTCCAGCGATGCAGCCATCCTCTCCTTTCCCGGTTGAAGCGGTGGCCGTCGTCCTCTTCCCTCTCCGAGTCGTTGCGGTTGTTCTGGTTCTCCCTGACTCTACTGGGAAGAATATTTCTTGGAACGGTAGGTTCACTAGTAACTTTGGACTTTCTGATGCTTTTCTAACTAACAATGCTCTTTCGGCTTGGAGCAGGAGCTCCAGTAGTCCTATCAAGCGCAGGGGCTATGCAGGAACTGGAGAGGTCGGCCACGGCCACTCCAATAGGAGCCATGCAACAAAAGAAATTTGCATAGCCTATCGAGCGTGCAGAGGCGTGACCTAACCAGTTCCTGGATGACTTCCCCCCACTGAAGGAGAATGCAGGATATCTTAACACATATCTCTCCCCCCCCCCAATAGGTCACCTCTTTCCTGGGAACAAAGCCATAAACTCCTCCTACAGCAGGCTGAGAGGAAATGGTTTCTCTTTATGGAAAGAAATGGGTAGGATGGAGATAACCTTTTGCCCTCCTGCCAGGAAGATGCAAGATAGATCGGCTATCCTGAGTTAGGGTCATAAAAGTTGAGGACATGCCCCTTGTTGTGGGGGGCAAAAAGTGCAAGGCAACATCCGTGGGAACTCAAACCCAATTCTAGGATAGGTCAAGGAGACACCCTCCCAGCTGGGATCTTAAGAGTTAAAATGTTTAACACAAACACACACAGAGTGAAAGGCATGCAAGCCAAGGACTGGAGAACCGGGAGAAATTGAGTGATGTCTCCCTTCACCAGCCCGTTTCAAAAGCCCTGCTTTGCTTCAGTTCATGACTCAGCATGAAAGGCCAAGGCAAAACCTGTGACTTGTACAACCCAGTTAACTTCTTGGTTTGTTTCTTCTGATTAGTTTCTGTGACATTCACGCCAATGAGTTTGCTGATATGACTTTTCTGATAGGAGTTGGCTAGATTTCTGTGCTCCTAGAAAACAGAAATGTTTGTCACTGAATATATTTTTCTTATGCCAGGTGGCAGGTGTTAGGACGGAGAGAACCTTTGCTGACTGAGACCCCAGACAGTTGCTGCTAGACTCAGTAGACAGCACTGAGTAGAGGGATGAATGGATTGACTCAGCAGAAGGTAGCTTGGTACGTTCACAACTGGAAAGAGACAGAAGACTACAAGCACGGCTACAAGCATGGACGGCTTCAAAAGGGAATTAGATAAGCATATGGAGCAGAGGTCCATCAGTGGCTATTAGCCACAAGGTACAGATAGGGACTCTAGGGCAAGTGATGCTCTGTCATCTTGGTGCTTGGGGGGGTCAACAGTGGGAGGGCTTCTAATGTCCTGGCCCCACTGGTGGACCTCCTGATGGCACTGGTATTTCTGGCCACTGTGTGATACAGAGTATTGGACTGGATGGGCCTTTGGCCTGATCCAACATTGGCATCTCTTATGTTCTTATGTTAAGACTGAATGAGCTGCTTAATTCAGCCTTGGTCTGCATCCACACAGCACTGGATATTGTTGCATTGCAGCGGTCATTCACCACTGGAACTCCCAATCCACTTATGAACAATTGCCAAAGGCCTAACGATAGCACAGTACGCAATGAACGATGTGCGGATTCAACGCTGAGCAGCTCTGGGGCACTGGACTTCAACTAGCAGTTCAAGACTCACAATCGTTTGATTTCAAGTGGAGCTCACTAACTCTGCTACCACCTTGCACTGATATACTAGAAGATTAAGAAGTGGGTGAAAAGATGGATTCTGGGGGTCTGTAAAGGCTGTAGACAACCGAGCACTGGAATGACAATCTTTCAGAGCGAGCATAAAGAGCTTACAATGCACAGAGCGTTGTCAATTAGAGGTGGTTTCCAGCCATCGTAACCTCCTGTCTGCTCATTCAGTAAGCTGGTGGTCCAAATTAATCCTTTCCTTGTCTGACTGTTCCTACCCATTTTCAAAGCTAGATGCAACTGGCAGCTTCTTGTGTGAATGCTTCTTGTGTGAATGTGTCTTTGTCAATAGGCTCTGCTCTAAACCCTGGGTGTTTTTTTTAAGCATTCCAGGATTCAACAAAAGGCTGAGTTTGAAACACTGGAAAGAAAGTGAAGAGAGGCCAGAAAGATCCAGGTTAACAAACAGCTTTATTGGTCATTTTACAAAAGGGTTCATGATCTATCAAAGAAACACCTGCTGCTCCCTGCCTTGGGGCAGGGCAAGGCGGAACGCCCTGGGCAGTGTCGGAGCCTGTGCTTAGATGGCCGGGCTGCTCTCTCTGCCCATCCTGAGCGGGCTGACCACAGGCAAACTCCCTTCCCCTGCCGCCGTCTCCCATCCCCCCCTCCCGCTGGGCACAAGCCCTCCGCTTGCAGAAATGCCAACGTTTCCAAAAATCAGGCCCACAGGCTCAGTCGTCCCTTTCTCCTGGTTTATAAATACAGCTTCCTTGGCTCCCAGGCGCAAACGTATTTACAAGGGGCCAGGCCATGCGGCTCCTTCTGGAGGGTCATAAATTAGAAGCACAGGAACCCCCCAGCCCAAAGTCCACGGAGTGCTGGGTTTGTAGGTCTTGCGTTGCTCATGCTGACTCCGTTGGGCTTCATCTCTTCTCCTGGAAACACCAAAGGGGAAACCGCTGTCAGTGGGGCTCCGCGGCTGCTCCTCACTTGTACGCATCAGTAATAACGACTACTAGCACTTTATTACGTTAGATGGTTTTAGACAGGGATCGTTTCGTAGAAAAAGAGCTAGGGGAACTCATTAGCATAACTCATTAGCATATGCCACATCCCCTGACTTCACCGGAAGTGTGTCACAAGGCCACACACCCCGCCACCAACGGTCCCGGCCGCCGCTGCCGGCCTTGCAGCTCCACTGCCGAGCCCCATGAGGGGCCCGGCGGTGGACCTGCAAGGCCGGCGGGAGTGCAAGGAAGCCCCGCGAAGGCCCTCCCTGGCCCCAGGCAGGCAGGGGTGGGGAGAGGCGGGGAGGAAGCAACTTACCCTCCCTCTTCTCCTGCCTCCTCTTGGCTGAATGAGGGCCGGAAGCGGAGCGGACGGAAGCAGGGGGCGGGGCTTCGTCATGTGCCCCGCCCCCGTACCTCACCCGGGGGAACTGCGATCCCCCGCGATATGACCTCTGGTTTTAGAACTGTTTTAATTGTAATTTACGGTGCAATGTAACGTATCTGTTTTATGTAAGCCGCCCTGAGCCAGCTCTGGCTGGGAAGGCGGGGTAGAAATATGACAAATATATAAGTAAATGCATCCTTCCCAGATTGTAGGACCACTCTCTAACCAGCTACTGGACTCATGATACGGTTGCCAACTCCAGGTTGGGAAATTTCTGGAGATTTGGGGACGAGCCTGGGAAGGGGGTTGGGGTTGGAGAGGGACCTCAGCTGGACATGATACCATAGAGTCCACCCGCCAGAGTGGCCATTGCCTGGAGACCAACCGTAATTCCGGGGGATCTCCAGGTAACCCTGACTCATGCATTCATTTGAGAGGACGAGTCCATCTTTCCATGGGCCCAGCTGAGGTCTGCTCTTGCCTGCCTCATAAAGCACATTCCATTTTAAAACCGGCTGGGCAGCTGTCTCCAACCTTTTTGAGGCTGGGGGCACCACTGGAATTTGACACGATATGGTGGGCACAGCCACAAAATGGCTGCCACAGGAGGCACAGCCAGCCACAAAATGGTTGCCGCAGCGTACCTTCGGTCACACAGTGTAGATCCTTGTGCTGTGGTGGCGCTGCTGCCAAAGCAACATTTTTTTTAGAAATCTGCAAAGCCAACCAAATCTCCAATGGCCAATTAGAAGCCTTGCTGAGAAAAGCCCCACCGGCCTGACTGCGCCCACTTTCTAAACGCACTTGGTGGGCTCCAGGAAAGGTGTCTGTGGGCGCCGTGGCACACCATGTCGGGGACCCCTGATCTGGAGGCACCCTAGAGAAGCCAACACTTCCTCAGTGAGGAAAGGGCTCCAACATTCACAGCTGATTCCTCTGGTAGACTGGGATGGACCTACCATAAGCCTTTTCTCAACTCCAGGAGTATCCCAGAGACTGAGGCCCAGAATCCTTGCCAGGCATCTCATGGAAGGCCCCAGAAAAATCCATGTGGACCCAAAGCCCTGTGGCCTTCCCCCTTTGGCTGCTCTGCACTGGCACTTCCTGCCCAGCCTCCTACAGTGTCCACCCATATCCCTGAGCTAGGTTCTTAGACTCACACTCCTCTGGTCTGTAATGACAAAAGCACATGGAAGTGCTGAAACTCACCTCGCTGCGATCCCCTGCTGTCCGGCTGCGTCCTGACCCGTGACCTCTAGATCCCGTTGACCCCCTGGAAGAAGAGCTTCCTGTTGTGGAGCAATTGCTTGACACCTGGCTTCGGGAGAGAAAGCTGGGCTTGCTGTATGGGATGATTTCCTCCTCTAGCAGGAAAAGAAGAAGGGGGGGGGAAGCAGGGTGTTGATCCGACATGCGCAGGCTTTGCATATGCTTTACTGCCATTGACACTTGGCACAGTCCGCACATTGGCAGAAGGATGACAAGAACAAGATTCTGAATTTAGGCAGACCCCTTCTAAGGCCCTGAGAAGCCTGGGGGCAAAAGTTTACATGGCGAATTTATACACCGCCTCTTCAGAGACCCCCTCAAGGTGCCTCACAACTAAAACAATACGCCCAAACCAAACAAGCCATTAAAACAAGGAAACCAGAGCACAAAAACAACATAAAAATAACCACCGAACAGCCTGAAATGATACTCGTAAAACAGTCTTCAGGCTAGAAGCAGATAATAAAACAGCTAAAAATAGATGGAACCTCTCAGTTAAAAGCCTGGGTGAGCAGAAACATTTTGGCCTGGTGCCTTAAGAAAGAAGTAAGGTAGGTGCCGGGCAATCTACAAAGGGGAGGGCCTTCCACAGGTGAGGGGCCACCACAGGAAAAGCCCCTTCTCTGGTTGCCACCTGTCTCACCTTTCAAAGGGGAAGGTGAGGGGCCACCACAGGAAAAGTCCCTTCTCTGGTTGCCACCTGTCTCACCTCTGCTGGCAGAGACACAGAGAGTTACCAGAAGATCTCTCTGGTGGGATGGATGTTACTTGTGACTCCTCTCCTTTCCTTCTCAATGCGCTGTGTATCAGTCATTTTCTTCGGGTAAAATAACAGATATGCCTCTGAACATGGAGGTTCTTTTGGGCCAGCCTAATTCATGGTATGTGGGAGGAACTAAGGCTGGAGGAATGTCAGCTGTTCAGAGTGCACCTATATTGGACAACTGAATTGGACATCTGAATTCAATACAGAATCCAACACTGCACTATTTACAGATTTTATGTCTTGAAAACAATACAGAATCCAACACTACACTATTTACAGATTTTATGTCTTGAAAACTGCAAGACCAAAATAAAAAAAATAGACAAGAAAAACACACTGCTCTTTCTGCCAAGAGGAAGGAAACCGTAGGGGGTTTGTTGTTGAATCTACAGGTTTGATTGTGGTGCTAATCTACTGTCCCGGAAAGAGAAAGAACGGGCATGTGTGTTATGCTGTCCTTCCACTCCACTCCACTCAGCAATTCTGCTGCCAAACCACAACGCAGAACATCACTGCTGGGAGCCTCACCGTCTCGGTGCTGGTGGTAGTGCTGTCCTGCCACTGTGCGAGGAGTGACCTTCCGCTCCATGACTGAGGCACCGTTCAGGTCCTTCTCCAGAGAGGAGGTGTTGCAGGCCAGTCGCGATGCGCTGTCCGGAACAGAGCAGCTGAGGTCTTCTGCTGGAGGTGGCAAGGGGGGTGGTGGGAGATCTGTAACCAGAAGCATGGGTGAAGAAGCCCCATGAATCCCATTCTTCCCCATGGCTTCTTTAGATTCCCAGGCACACTCCACATATTTTCAATCACATCTTTATAGCCATAAGAAAGCTCAAAGCTTAAGAGGAAAACATATCTGCACGGGTAACTGCTCCTCCAAAAGCAAAAGTGCTTAGCTATGGGGTTACAGGGCCTTCTTGGTGGTGGCACCCCAACTCTGGAACAGCATCCCCAAGCACATTTGGCAGGCACCTACGGTGTTCTCTTTTAGGCATGAATTAAAACCTCTTTAAAAACAACAGCTGATCTGTGATGCCCCCATCCCCAATTATCTATTTGATGTTTCACTGGTAGCTGTTTTCTGTTGTTATTTTTGTTGTTATCTATTAACTATTTGTTGCAAGCCACCTTGGAACAACAACAACAAAAAAAAAACAACCCTGGAAGGGCAGGAGACAAACGTTGTCAATGACTCAATCAATAAAAGCAAGAGATTCCCAGGAAGCTGGATTCTGCACAGAGCCACAAACTCTATTGGGTTCTTGTGATACGTAACCAAGGAGAAGAGGAATACACAAAAACTGGCTTTGCTGGACACACCTGTGTGTAAGCTTGGCTCTATGTTAAGAAAGCGACACAGTTATCTTTCAGGCCCTGCAGTACAAGGAGAACGCTTTCCAGATGTGCCAGCTGCTGCTCCTCAGTAAACACATCAAGCAGAGGCAAGACTGGCCCTGACCTGGATAGCCCAGGCAAGCCCAATCCCTCAGATCTCGAAAGCCAACCAGGGCAGACCCTGGCAAGTAATTGGAAGGGAGACCTCCAAGGAATACCAGGGTTTGGAACACAGAGGCAGGCAATCAAGCCACCTCTCTGAAAATGTCCAAGCCCCAGCAGGGGTCACCAGAAGTTACCATGACTTCCAGACATGCAAGTACATACACACACACACCAAAAAAACCCACATTTTTTTTAAAAGTAGAAGCAACACTGCACTGCCTGAAGTGGTGGTATTCAAAGGCTGCCGGTGTTGTGCTGTAGTTACAGCAGGGGTGTCAAACATGCAGCCCAGGGGCCAGATCAGGTCCTCAGAGGGCTGCAATCTGGCCCGCAAGGCCCTAGCTGTTTCCTGTTCCTTTTTCCAGTTCTGCTGCTGCTACATCACAGCTTACTTTACCAGACTCTCTCAGTCTCACAGGAGAGATAGATAGGCAAGCCTCTCCTGTGCGATTGAGAGAGTCTGGTAAAGCACTGGCTGAGGCTCTTCCCCCTCCTCCTCCTCCCAGGGGGATGGAGGGAAACAGCCAGAGTTCACTTCATGGCCAGGCTGCCTCAATAATATTCAGGAGACAAAGGGAAGCCTTTCTTTCCATCCACTGGCTGAGGCTCCTTCCTGAAGGGAGGCAGGGAGGGAGGGAACGAGTGAAAGCTTGCTTTGCCGGACTGCCTCAATTGCATGGCAAAAATACCAGGCACCTTTAACGCCAACAAAGTTTTGTTCAAGGTATGAGTTTTTGTGTGCCTTGCTACAGTGTGTTTGTATTCTGTTGGGCTCCTTATACTGTGTGTGTTTCGTTGGGCTCCTTATGCCAGGGCTCTCACGGGTGCAACGGGGTTCCCTCCCCCTTTTCACTGTGTTCATGCCCTCATGATCCAGTCTTTCTCAGTAAGAATGCAATGTGAAAGTTAATTGTGTTTGTCGGTGTCCTTTATAAAGTTTATACTCTGCTACCTGGCATTACAATTTATGACACACATGGCCCGGCCCAACAAGGTCTCATTTATGTCAGATCCGGCCCTGATAACAAATGAGTTCGACACCCCTGAGTTACAGCATCAGACTAGGAGCTGGGAGAGCCAGGTTCAAATCCCCAGCCATGGAAGCTTGCTGGGGTAACATCAGGGAAGATGTTTGGTCACACCGCTGCATGGCCACACAGACCTGTACTCGGTCCATCTTGCTCATTATTGTTTCATCTGACAGCTGCTCCCCAGCATTTCAGACAGAGAAAGTTCTTGTCTGATACCTGCTCCCAGAGATCCTTTGACTGGACATGCCACAGGGGTTGACCCTGACAGGAAAGCAAAGCATGCACTCCACCACTGAGCTGTGAATATCGTGCTCCTTGGCCTACACTACAACTGCGTAGGTGGGCTTGAGTAGGAAAGAGACCAGGCTTCTGGAGCCTGAGAGAGAAACACTCACCTCCCTGTTTCTTCTCTCGACGGTAGTGGCTAGACTTGGATTTCTTCTTGCCTTTTGCTTTCTGCCCTGGCGGGAGAGGCATGTCTCCTGGGCTGGGCTGGGGTTTTCCTGTCAGCAAAAGCCGGCACCAGAGTCAAATCCTCAGCCAGCCGTTTGGCCTGTCCCCACCCACTCTCCTCCCTGGCACAGCTGACCAAGGGCTTGAACCCAGAGTCAGTGGCCAGCGTGACCCAGCACTGCTGGATAGAAAAATCACACTGGATGACTGGGAGTCAAGTAACGATGCAGCATCTTTGGGGTGCCCAAGACAGCCCAGGACTCGTAAAGCAAATACATGTTGGGGGGTGGTGGGGAAGACTGGCACCTTCCAATCCACTCCAATCTCATTTCCGCCACCACAAGGGCAGCAGCGCCTCTCAAATTTGGCATTGGCCTCTCTGCTGAGTTGCTCGGGGACACCAGAGGCGGGCTGGCCCCTCCACCTCCCTGTGCCTGTGATGCCGCACTGCCCTTTGGAAGAGGGGCACCCACCTATTCCCGGGGAGTCAACATTCTCTGCACTGTGCGCTGGAGTCTGGCTCAGGTTACGTCGATGGCCTTGCTTGGGAGCGCTGCCTTCGGGTCCCTCTTCGACCACATTTAGGTTTGGGTTGGACTGAGTCAAAGGAGGACTCAAGGCCCTGGGCGATGGCCCCGAGCCATTGGGTAGCCGCCTTGAAAGCAAGGAGTACAAGCATTAAAGAGGATGGAGTGGACCGATGATAACAGCGCCGCGGCGAGATCAACCATCCATAGGGCTTTGTGTACATTCCGCACTCAAAATGAACCCTGGATTCTGTGCCACAGTAGCCCGTATTCTCTACCACCACAGCCCAGGGCTCCAACCCATTAGATGACAGTGGATGCAACCTCCAACCTCTCACAAATTCCATGAAGATTAGAAACAAGCTGTTTTCAAAACTTAAAACAAAACTGAGGTTCTTTGGATGCTGAATTATCTGCTCAGTAAAAGGTTCTACCCTTGCTCGGTGGAACTTCGAAACAGGCACAGCCTTGGCCGTGTCCCACACTGGCATGCCCTGATGCCATTCAATCTACAACCTATCTGTGCAAAAGGCATTCTCGCCCTCCACTAGGCCAGACACATACGCCCAGCCATTAGTAGTCCTGTTAGGGAAAAGATTTGGGAAGCAGTGTAAGGGAAGGAATTAGAAGGGGAGAGAAGTATGATAATGATGGTGGATCAACCCAACAAACATTAGAGGCCCTTCTACGAATTTCATGAAACCACTCCTGCAGCAACTTTAGTGTTTAGCACAGCCGTTAGGGATACGGATCATTATTACTGAGTAACTGGGGGATGGGGGGATGGGGACTGATGGGTAGACTGCGCAGGGGAGTCCTAGCAGAGCTCTGTGCTTATAGGTAGAAACTCAAGATCAGAACTGCACAGGAGAATGGAGGAGCCATGGAGTTGCATATGCTCAAGTAGAAAACCCACGCATCGGAGGGTGTGATTAGAGGTATGTATGGTGTCTATGAGAAAGCATCACGGGGGCTAGATTGCATGCTTCATAAGTACAAGTGATTCCTACCTGGGCAGGTGTGGAATCTCAAAGTGGTGTAGTCTGGGGATGTCCTCGGAAGCTCTCATCTCATCTCGGGGTGAGGGGGTCAACGTGGCTGTGGACTGCTGACCATAGGAGTTAGCGGGAGAGGAGGCATCTCCACGAGGTGGGGGAGGAGGACACTCCTCTTCCTGGATGTTCTCCATCAGGTACGTCCTTTCTGGCAGGGGTGGGCACCACTCCTCTACCTCTGAACTACAAACAGGGAGTGAACTAGACAATTTGGCCAAGAGGCATACAGTGTTCCCTCTAATTCCCCCCCCCCCTGCTGAGCAGAGCAGTTCACATCCTGAGCAGAAGAGAACTGCTGTAATCTTGAAATGGGTGATGGGCCGTGAAAGACCCTGTGCGGCTCCAGACTGCTGCTGAGCGGGGTGTCCTGAGTTAATGAGTGGCCGCTCATGAGCCCAGCTTAGAGGGAACACTGGGTGCATGGGGTTCCCAGACATCCTACTGGAACACAATCCCCTCAAGTGCTAGAGGGACATTTCCACCCTAGTTAGGACTCCTCTGGCAGTACTTCATTTGTACTCTAACTACAGATGACATTTGTCTTCTCCAGCCTAGAAATACTCTTAGATGCCATCAAATCCATCCATGATGCTTGAAGACAGAGAAGGGAAATAAGTTTTCTGGAACATGCTTTCCTATTTAAAATGCAGAGCGAATCAGCGGTTGGCACTGAAATGGGATTTCAAACTAGGGTTCGTAGATGTTTTGTTAACCACAGTTTGTATTCATCAGGGCTTGTTGTGATGGTTGGCTGAATTCACAAACTGCAATTTGTTGAGTTGCACCACCCCTTGAGTCTGCCTGGCCATACAGACAGCCATATAGGGAGAATGTCCTTCATGCTGGGAGGTGGAGTGGATGCAAGAAGCAGGGAAACTGGAGCTTATGCACGAAACTAGGGCTTGTTACATCTGGTAGATTAAATGGAGACAGTGCAGAAACTTTGGTTTAAGCAAGCCACTTTTTCACTGAATGCAGCCCTGGTGTCTTTTTTATTTAAAATATAATTGACTGACTAATCCCTGGGATAGCTGCTCGTAGTTTTCATATTCAGGTGCAAATAAGAAAGGTGGCCTTTTTTATTTACTTTTTTGAAATATTTCCATTCCATCCTTCCACAGTGCAATCTATAAAGTAGCAAGTATATTTAAAATAAAACTAGACAGATAGAATAGATTTAGATATAAAGTCATATTAGATGCCAACGGAGTAAATAAAACAGCAGTGAGATAATTAAGAGTACAACGGATCAAAGCAGCAGAAGAGCCTTCAAGCTATCTCACTGAAAAACTCTTTCAAAATAAATGGGGTTGAACCAAAATGAGCACAGAGCAGGCACCAACCCAATGTCTCTAAGAAGGCTGTTCCACAGCTTGGGCACCACCACAGAGAAGGCCCTGTCCAAAGTTCAGGGCAACTGGAACGGAGCAAATCCTAACTCAGACTTGATACAAAGTTTCCTGCTAAGAGAAGGCTTAAGTGGTTCCTGATCCTGACTGGATCTCAGACACGGTTCCAGGCAGCTTAGAGCTGTCTGAATTATTGTTCGAAAACTCATTGCAGTGGCTGGGGCTGCAATTGGAAATGGAAAGGCACATGGGGGAGGGAGGCTGGCCTCCTTTAGTCCTTTCCCTGCTTTAAAGCACCTCCCCATAGCTGCTTTGGGGTGGGGAAGATATACAAGCACTTGCAAGTATACTTGAAATAGCCTCATCCCTCCATGCCCCAATGGCTGCAATCCATTTAAAAAAAGAAAAGGTGAATCAAAAGGGTAATGGGAACGACACAGAACGTGCAGCTCTCCCCTGAAACAAAAATGCAACTTGAGTAGATCATAAATCTGAAGGGATTTCCATGAGTGTATCTAGCTAGTCCCACTTTTTTTTTTCCCAGGAGAAAAGCAGGCTAAAATATTGAAATAAATGAAATAAATATAAAAAGAATATGCTGGTGTAAACCCAGTGTCAGCCGAGCTTCAAATTCGGACTAATGGTTAACACATGAAGCTGCCATATACCGAATCAGGCCACTGGTCCATCAAGGTCTTGTCTACCCTGACGGGCAGCAGATCTCCAGGTTCCCAGGTGGACCATCACCTGCTACCTGATCCTTTTAACTGGGCACAACATCAGATGCCACTTTTATCAGCAAGTGGAACATTACGAGGAAAGGCAGTGACGTGCCAGGACCTTCCCAGGATACCTACTTGACTTCTGTCTCCTCCTGCTCCTCCTCCTCTTCTTCCACATACTGACTCAGTTCACTGGCGGAAGGTGGTGGAGGAAGCACTTCGGTCCAGTTCAAGGATGGCGTCTTCACCGGCTTTCCCATCAACTTCTGTTTCCCAGGCTTAGAAACTAGAGGAAGAAACAGTAGCCAGAGTGGGGACCTACGGAGTCATCCAAGGATGAAGAACAGCCCGTCTAGGATGTTTGGTGGGCCATGAAGAGGTCACCACCTCAACCTTTAAACCTTGAACACCTCCTAAAACCCAGTGCACTAAGCTGCATCTGTTCTTCATTCTCAATCTGAGTTATAGCTTCTATTCCCCAAAACAGAATCTGCTGCACTGGACACATCTGTATGGTCTGCAGGGAAAACAGAAGTCCAAATGAAGAGGTTACTTGGAGAGTTGACAAAGTACATCAGTGGCCACACTTAGCGAAGCAGGACGTTGCCCGTTCTCCACTGCTGCTTCTTATGCTTGGAAATACCACTTCCGAGTCCCTCTTCAAAATTCATCCTTTCTGCCCTGACCTGCATAGCCCAGGAGAGCCCAGTCTCAGAAGCTAAGCAGGGCCGACCCTGGCAAGTACTTGGAAGGGCGACCTCCAAGGAATACCAGGGCCTGGGATGCAGAGGAAGGTCGTATCAAGAGCCACCTCTCTGAAACATCCTAGCCCCATGAGGAGTCGCCAGAAGTCACCATGACTTCCAGGCTCGGAGGCACCCATGCATGCGCATGCACACACACACACACAAATACACACCTCACCAAAAAAAGGGGGGGGGAACCATCTTTTCTGCGCAGCCTTTATTTAACCTGCCAGCAGGGCCGGTGTAAGCTTGCCCTTAGGTAGGGCAGCTGCTGGGGCCCAGGGTTTCTGGCAGGGCCCACTGATGCTGGCCCCTCCTGCCCACTCACTTGCCAGAGCTCCCCCACCCATGCCCTCTGCCGCACTCTCTGCTTGGTTCCACTGGGGAAAGGACGGCAGGCAGCTGTGAGAGCGGGGGCCATTGGGCGGGCCTTTGAGCAAACATGGAGAAAACACACAGGCAGGTGGGAGGCATGCAGGTGAGTGGGAAAGAGGGCGCACGGGTGCCGGGTGCCCCCGGGAATTGTCTGCCCTGAAAACTTAGCGCCTGGCCTGCCTGCCAGTCTTTATTCCCAACCACAACGCAGTCTAGCTACGTGTCACTGCAACTACTCCCGCTCATTCTTTGCTACCCATGGTCTCTCCCCTCTTCCCACTGTCTAAACTGTATCATGCCTGGAGGCAGGACTGGTCTTTATCATTAGCATTTCTAAGTAAAGCACTGTATAAGGTATTGATGTGTTATATCAATGCATCCCTAATTCATTGTTGCACCACAAAGAGACAAGCCGAAAGTCCCATTCCGTGTGGCTTGGCTGGGGAGAAGCTTGACTGTCTAGAGACAGTTATGCCCACAATGCAATCCTAAGAAGCATTTCCCCCTTCTAAATCCATTAAAGTTTATGGGCTTAGAAGGGCGCAATTCTGCTTAGGAGGGCACTGCCAGCAAAGCTTAGCAGCATACTTTTAGGAGGGAGGGGCTTTCCCCCTTGGCCTCTCTGTGGGTGCGTTCAGACAGGGCATTTATACCGGTATAAACTGCTGCGGTTCCAACCGGTGCAATTTGATCCAGAAGAAACGCGATCACACTCACCTCCTGACTGCGCAGCACATCGCGATATGATATGCCCGTTCACACTACCGACGCGCAGCAGTGCGCATCGGTGGTTTTTAATTTTTTTTTTACATTTTGCACATGCGCATAGGCAGCCATCCACAGAGTTGAGATCTTCGCGCAGGCGCAGAACACCCCGTCTCGAAAAGCGTGGCCTGAAGCGAAGACTTCCCTTTAAACTTTTACAGCACAAAGGGCCTCCGTGAGGTCCCGGACTCGTCCGCAGCCTAAAACTAAGCATCTTTTTTTTTTTAAACAAATGCCAGGGCGAAGCTTTGCCCAAGCGCACATCGAGGAGGCTTAAAAAAAAATGGCGACCGAAAAGCGGAAGCCTTGGGCTTCCGGACGGAAGTGGCTCTACACCAGCAGAGAGCGATCAGACGGGGATAATGTGGTTGGAACCGGTGTACAGAGGATCAATGCTCCCTCTAAACTGTGGAGTCTTGTGAGCAAAAATTCTGCTTTGTGAGTTCCTGGGATTAAAGTTCTGAGTGACCAATTTGGCTGCTGCATCAATCCGTTTGCTCTGGAGCCATCCCTTCCTGAGCGGAGACAAAAATGTGTGAGCTGGAGGCTAAAAAACCCTGTGCTGGCTCACACTAACTCAGCTTAGAGGGAACACTGCTCAGGATACCACCACTTGGGGACCTAGTAGCAGAATACAACGGCTATAGGCTGTTTGCAATGGTTAGGAAGGCAGATGTTCGCCGTGTGATTGCCCGTAAGTACACCGATTCCAACCGGCATCTATACCAGCATAAATGCCCCATCTGAATGCACCCTGTAAGTGGTGGGCAACCGCTGTAAGAGCGACACCAAGGGAAATGTCTCCTTTGGGGGTGTGACTCTGGGGGAGAGGCAGGGAGAAGGGTGCTGCCTTCTGAAGGTACAGTTATAGATCTGTTATCTATAAAAAACTTTTATCTTGCACGGCTGCTTTCAACCCCCTCCCCACCGTTTAGCTCGTCAGAACACGAGGTCCTTGGGGACAGATGTGCTTGTGTTTGGAAAGGCTGCTGGGAAGTTGGGACAGAGCAGGATGTAAAAGGAATCAATGCGTAAAACCTTGGACTTCCTCCAGACTAGAACAGTCCTGTCTAGGGATTTTCTCCTCTCCACGGATGACACCACTGCAACTTGGAAACATATTCTTGGAGAGGGGAGGAGAAGGCTCTTGGGTACGTTCAAGGTCCCTACCGCTCTCAGCCCTGCCCCGCTCAGGCTGGGCATACTGGATGCCGGAGACCCCAGGAGGGGCATTCCACGGGCTCTCCTCTTCCTCCGGCGAATGCAAATGTGTCGCTCCGTATGGCACTACGGGTGTCGTGGCGTATGGGGTGGTGTGCTGGGAAAAAGCCCCATTGAACGTCCTCATGTCGTCGCTGGCAGGGTCAATGGTGCTGTAAATGGGCCCGTCAGACACCCCCGTTCCGAATTTCTCGGTCTGTGCGATGTAGTTGGAAATCCCAGCATCTGCAGAGAAGGAGACGCACAAACGACCTGGTTGTTACCGGGGCCGTCTGGCTGAGCTGTAGTAGATTCTGCGGTCTCCAATTGTAAGCTTCTCTGGCATTTGCAGGCTTTTGAGAACTGCCTCTAATCCAGGCTTGGGGTCTGTCTGAGCAATTTAATTGAAATCCCCTGTTCCTGGACACAAACTTTGGCTTAGCTCGTCTCCGGGAAGGTCACGGCCCGGAAAGCCTGCCCGAGAAGCCTCACCAGCTTCCTCATTTGTGCAGACTAAAAGACTAAGCCTCTTGCTTTAGCCTGCGCACCATCCCCATAAAGCTCTCTCTGTTCGCTGCACTCATTTGCCGGTCTGCATTGGCCTTGCTGTCAGAAGGGCTTTGCTATTTCTCAGCCTGACCATCCCAGCATCTCACCAGCACAAGCAGCATGACACTTACTGTTGTAATATCTCTCCGTGGCATTGTGGTTTCCTGTGCAGCAGGCCACTCCGGGTTCCTTTGCCTTCCCATTCCGGAGCAGATTTGGGGCTGGCCACGAGTCTGCCAGCCACGGATAGCTGGAAGTACTTGTAGCCATGGCCAGCATGCCAGGCCTGCTGGAGGAAAGGCAGAAGAGTTGTGGGTGTTTGGTGCTTTGTATTAGCACTGTCACACGATTAAAGAAATCTCGAATGCTGAATCATGCAAGGCCTTGTCTACACAATACAGCTTACCATGCGATGTCTCCATAAGTACTTGCCACAAGTGCTGATCATGCAAATATTAATCTCCACTGCGTGGTGCAAAGGATTTTTTAAAAAAACACCTCATTTTGATGCTCTCCTCCTCTGAACATTGGGTGGGTTCCTTATCCCACAAGTCCCATAAAATTTTTTGTAAGTAAATAAATGCATAAGCCATTGCTAGCTTTCTACAGGAAGTTGCAGAAGTCAGTACTTTGAAGGAGAACGAGATACACAGAGGGCTTGTCAGTCTCCTTTCTTCCAGACAGTTTGGAATCAGAACCCAGTGGTGGAAGACACCAAAAGTCTGGTTCCCTAGGGTTATAACGCAAACGGTTAGAATGCCCCAGGCCAAAAAGATAGGAAATCGCCACTTATTTATCTACCTGCTAAATCAGTGCAAAGTACCAAGAAGCCACTGAGTGGAACGCTGAAGGAGAAGGAAGGAAGGAAAGTGGGAATCATCAATGTGATATCCCAGTCTTTGCACTCACCTGCCACTGCCTCGTGCTGGCCCATCCGCATGGGGGAAAGAGACTGAAAAAGAGGGGACCACAAAGTCATGGACGTCTCCTTGGAAAGCAAGATGTGGCTCAGGTTGGCGGTGCTGGGAAAAGCCATGTGATGGAGGCGGGGGAAAAGCCTTACCTGCTGGCGTGTATGCAAAGGAGGCTGCAAAGAGAAGCAGGCAGACAGTAAGCAAGTCACAGCTGTGGTAGGTGGGGCTGGGGGGTGGAGTGGAGCAGCTGTGGGTGGAGCATTTCAGTGGCATCAGGAGTGGGCCGCGTCTCATACGCACTGCATGGCTCTTACAGCTGTTTTCTGGCATGCCAAGGCATTTTATTTGTACAGCGGTCTTTTATTCCCCTCTTCCCTTTAGGAGCCCGGGGCAGCATGCTGCTTCGCCCCTCTCCATTTTATCCTTACAACAAGCCTGAGAAGTAGGTTAGGGCAGAGGTGTCAAACTCATTTGTCACGAGGGCCAGATCTGACATAAACGTCACTTGGGCTGGGCCATGAATACCATCAAATGTAATGCCAGGTATTGGCAATGTAAACTTTATAAAGGATAGAGACAAACCCAATTAACAATATTATTTTTAAAAAATCAAAATACAAACGTGCTCAAAACATTAACACTCTTACAGTATTTCCTTAAAGCATTTCCCTGATGCTCACCCTCCCACTTCCACTACCCGTTACACATTAGGATTGGGACAGAACACCAGAGACATAATGCGCAGCTCCTGTCATCTGGCAACAATCAGTTGCTTGCAGACCGGAGAAGAGCCCTGGATGGGCCAATTCCAGCCCACGGGCCATATGCTTGACATCCCTGGGTTGGGGTGAGAGAGAGAGAGACTGCCCCCCTCCCCAGTCACCCTGTGAGCTTCAAGGCAAAATGGGGATCTGAGCCCAGGTCTCCTCCCAGGTCCTAGTGCCCCACCCTGGCAAAAGCCTTACATTCCAGCCTCCCAAGAACCCTCCTGAAGTGAGTTAGTAACATTCCTGTTTCTCAGACAGTCAAGTGAGGCCAGGAAGCAATGGAAACAGACCACGCCAACTAAAACTAATGTTTATAAATTAACCCGATTTACTCATGTCATTCTGGCCATATAATCTCCACCCCTCACCCTGTTTTGGAAACTGCATTGTTTAGGTTTGCTTTTTGGTTTTTAGTGGCAGCAGCTGGGAATAGCGACTGATTACAGAAGTGTTGGGACTCCAAAAGCAAAGTGTGGAACAAGGGAACAGGAGCTGTCAAAATCCCACCATGTGGAACCCAGTATTTAAAACAATGTGAATATTCTTAATGTATCTCCTTGATTCCAGCCGGGGGTGGGGGGTGGGGGTTAGCATGTTCTACCAGAAAATTATCACACAGGAATTCAGCTCCCCATCATTTCACTGGGTCTTGCACAAAAATGTAGGCCTTCCTTGCTTATCGATGCTAAATCCACAAGGAACTTGTAAAACATTCTGCATTTAAGGGATTTGGCCACTTTCCCCTCATCAGCTTCCCGTCTTAAATGGCTTGACACCTCTGCCTTGCGTAGCCATGCTTCACAGACCACCTCCCTCTCCCCCTTCCTGGAGACAGCCACGGGGCACGGGGAGGGGCGGTGGCCAGGCAGCCTGGGCCGTCTCACCCGTGTAGTGACTCAGCTCCTTCCTCTTCTTCCGGCGACAATAGATCCACACGCTGAAGCACATCAGGATGACCCAGCAGGCTCCTCCGATGCCAGCAATGAAGGCCGGCTGCTTCACCACATCGGTGATCTGCTCGGCGAGGCTCACGCTGTCCCCGTTGCTCACGGACACCGAGTCCTGGTCTGGCAAGGGCTCTGCCGTAGGCACAGGAGGCAAAGAGCATCTGGTTAAAGGAGGCGACCTGAGGAAGGCTCGTCATCACTGAGGACTCGTCACCTGCATGGGGGCTGTGCCAATTCAGACGGCGGGTGGGCCTTGCGTGATAGAATTCCTCTTGGTGGAAGACAATCCCCTCCGTATAGAAAGTGAGCAGGTCTGGGAAGTGGGAACTCCTCTCCCTAACATGCTCATTGTTTTAACCTGTCTGGAATATCTGCTGTTGGAGGAATGGCCAGTCCAGGCCCGTAGCCAGGATCTTTAAAGTCAGGGGGCATATAAATGTCTCAGGGGGCACTGGGTAGTCAAATTAAAGGAATACCCATCTCCTTCCCCGCACCTGCCATCGCTGGGGGGCCCTGGGCTGGATGGGAAGTCGTGGGGCCTTGCCGGTAAGTCAGGGGGCCTAGCCCCGAGATGCCCCACTGTAGCTACGGGCCTGGGCCAGTCATTCCTGCAATTTGCAGTGGTGCAGCACAGAGGAAGTGTTGCAGTGACAATGAAACTTGGGGCATAGAGCAGTAGAAAATAGGCACCGTGCCTTCACATCCTACAACAGTAACTTTCCATCCCTCTATCCAGTTACGTGGCCAAGGGCTGCCTTCAAATCAGCATCTCTGACACCTCCATGTTTGGGAAGATTGCTATGAGAACAAGGAAGTCCTCCTACGCCCAACACGGGAAGCTGCCTGATCCTGAGTCAGACCCTTCTTGGTCTATCAGGATCAGTATTGTCTGCCTAGACTGGCAGAGGCTCTCCAGAATCTTCAAGAGTGGACTTTCACTTCACCTACTACCTAGTCCTTTTAACCTGAGAGGCCAGAGATTGAACCTGGGACGTTCTGCATGCAAAGCAGATGCTTTACCACTGAGCCATGGCCCCTCCCCCTGTCCATCTATTCCTGCTCACACTAGAAGCATAAAAGAGCAACAACCCTGTGCTAGGTTTTGCAAGCAACAGTAAGTGAGGGCCAGACTGGGCTGGGCATTCTGTCCAGGTAAGAAGAGGAACCAACAGATTTTCTGCTGAACAGAAACCCCAAAGGCAGAAAGCCGCTTCTCAGATCTTGTGGAGAGGAGCCAGGGGATAAGGCTCTGAGGCCTGTGGGTGCCCTACGGAGTGGGGTCAGATTGCAGCCCGAGTGGCATGATGACAGGGGTGGCCCTTTGCCCACTGGCCCACTGGCTTCTCTGTGGTCCCATCTGTCCTTTGCCAGCCAGACATTTGGCCATAATCAGAGACAGATTTGGCTGCCTCTGGAAATTATAATCCCGCCCCTAACAATAAGGAACTCTGCAAGGATAGTGGAATCCCTCTTCGGGCAGGGGAGGGGAAAGGGACAAAAGTGTGATTGCAGGGAGCAGCCGGGCTACGAGAGAAGGCGTTGTCTTTAAAAATCCCTATATCCATTTTTTCCATTTATGGCTGGGAGGAGGGAACCGAAAATGGCTGAGAGCCGGCTGGGGGCTTCTTCAACGCAAAGCCTTGAGCCTGCCCCAGATGCAGGTTGCAATATGGACCAGGGGGTCAAGAGAGCAGGCCCCTCCTCACATCACTGCCACAGCCATCCACGTCCAGAGGTAACCAGAGCAGCTGTGGCAAAGACTCCTCCCTCATTTGAACCCTGCACTGCCCTGGGGTGGAACGGGAAGCAGCATGTTTGAGGAGTCTGACCTAGCCCTGGTACGGAGCCCGGCAAGTCTTGCAATTGGCTTTCGTGTTGATGTTTGGGGTAGGATGGTGTGAGGGAGGCCCAGAGGGGGTCCCACGGGAGCTCTAGGCAGCCCTGGGCCAGGCTCTCTTCCACGCAGCATTGGGACCCGGGTCTCAACCCTATTCTCGCTCTGTGGCTGCTTGGATGAGTCTGGGATACTCACTGATCTGAATGGTGACGGGTGCACTCCTCACACCAATGCCTGCGCTGGTGGCTGCCGCCACCTCCGTGCGGTACAGCATGCCCGGCACCAAGCCCTGCAAGACTGTCGACCGCAACGTGCCGTCCACCGTCTTGTTAATGTGGTAACGAGACTCATTGCCTAGACACCAAACCTGCCGCAACATGAAAGACCGCATTTGCTTATTTATCGATTTAACCCTACAACTTTTAGCCATCGTGTTACGTTCACAAACGCATTCCGATCAACGGCCAAGGTGATATCCTCTGGCAAAGCAGACTCCCCACGCCCACTTCCCAGCATCCACTGTGGCTCTGGCTGTAGCCAGACCACAAGGCCTCGAAGACCCCTTTGGAGTTCTCAAGACCCTGGGGGGGGGGGAGATACTCTTCCTTACCCGGTAATCCTGGATGATGCCGTTCTGAGCGTCAGGAGGGGGCGGCTCCCACGATACGCTGATGCTGGTACTGTTGCTGCTCCCCACGGTTACTACGGTAACTGCCTGAGGAGGGGCACTAGGAGCTGGGCAAGAGGGAATAAAACGACTTTATTGTTCGGAGGGGAGGGGCTGTGTGGCGTCTGGAGACGGGCGCTCTGAGTTTTGGAATGCCGCAGAAACTGTGCCAAGGACAGGCTGAGTTACTGGAAGGCGATGAAAGAAAAGGTCACCGGCAATTTTCAAATTTTATCAGCCTTCAGAGTTACACTTGTAAATGAGTTCTGAATAGGTGCTCAAAAGGAACCCGGGGGGGGGGGGGGTCTGTTCTTTTTGTGATGGTGCTAAAGGTTACTACAGGCAAATCTCTGCCCCCCACAGCTCTGCTGTAGCATTACAGCTCCTGGGTATCTTGACCCACAGGATGTCTCTAAGGCTGCCAACCTTCAGGCGAGGTCTGGAGATCTCCCAGAATTACAACAGATGTGAGTTCCCCTGGAGAGAATGGCAACTCTGGAGGGTGGATCCTCTGCCATTAGACCTCGCTGTGGCCCCTCCTGCCCCCAAACCCTGCCTTCCCTAGGCCCTGTCCCCTGAATCTCCAGGAAGTTCCCAATCTGGAGTTGGCAACTCTAGCCATGGCACTTAAACAAGGTTTGAAACTGGTTTTCATTTGTACTGTACTGTGGACATATTATTGTGCCTGAACAACAGGAACGAAATGCAGGAGTTTTGCTTATTGGGGCTCCCTACCCTTGCCCCTCACTCAGAATCTTTAGAAAAACTGAGGTACATAAATATTGAGATAGCTACAGGCACAATTTGCTCCTGACTTCTTTGCGGTAGGTGTATAACTATTTTTAGCTTCCAGGATGACAGTTAAGGTTGCATGAAACCCTTCAGGATTCCAGAGCAGGTCCAGAGATAAAGAATGCCCGTCTACATCAGACCAGGCACCCATCTTGGTAGTCAGCCTGTTGGCACTTGCCAACACAGACAAGTGGGAAAGAGGTGATCTTTCCTACAAACAGGGACATGGATTTACTATGACCTAAGCAAGGGTGGGCTGATTTCAATCTTGCATGGTCTACGTTGGTTTTGATGAGCATCCTGTGGTCCGCCCGTTTGTTAACACTGGAAGTGCCTTGCTGGGTCTGATCAGGAGGCAGTTAGTTCTTCGTTATTCACAAAACTTCCTGCAAACTTCCCAGGAGGGCATACTCCTGTTGGGGACGGGAGATCTCCACTGGAGTGCCAGCAGGAGAATTATTTTTTAAAAGCCATTAGCAGGGCCGGCTCACTCACTAGGTGAACTAGGCGGTTGCCTAGAGCAGGACGGCCCTTAGGGGCGCCAAACTGAACCTGGCCCCATACTCTGGGAGTTTCTTGATTATTTGTGTTTTTCATTCTTCCTAAAATGCATTGATTTTTTAAAATTGGTGGGTGCACCGGGGGGGGGGGGGGCGCCCGATGTCACTTCTGGGTTTTCCCCAAAAGTGCCATCACACCTATGTAGAAATCGCTGGAAACTCTATGTGGTTTTTTTTAACGATAGGGCTACCAGTGATTCCTAGAGACATGTGATATCATTTGTGGGGTTTCCCTGGAAGTGATGTCACACCACTGCTGATGGCCATCCCTTGGATCCCTCCTGGTCCTAATCTGGTTCTAGGTGGTCCACCAGAAATCAGTCAATGATCCACTGTTGGCTCAAAATCCACAATCTCCCCCTCTCTGTCCCAGGGGATTAACCATTATGAATTTGCCTATCTCACTGCTAGCATCTGTCCTTAGAGTCAAAGATTTCGACCTTACACACCACTGTACCTGTTTGCGGTAGGGGAAAACAACATGATTTATTCTTGCAAAGATTGATGGCATAATTAATGATGGCTTCATTTCCTACACTGAGATAACTACGGAATCGGAGGAGGATTCGTCTTACAATATATGCAATTAAAGGTAAAGGTAAAGGTTCCCTTGCTCGAAAGCCAGTCGAATCTGACTCTAGGGTTGTGGTGCTCATCTCCGTTTCAAAGCCGAAGAGCCAGCGCTGTCCTTCCCACTGAAGTGGTACCTATTTATCTACTTGCAATTTCTTGCTTTCGAACTGCTAGGTTGGCAGGAGCTGGAGCTAGAGACGGGAGCTCACTCCGTCATGCGGCACACTTGGGTCTCGAACTGCTGAACTACCGACCTTCCACAGCCTGCAGTTCAGCGTCTTAACCACTTGAGCCACCGCAGCAATTACAGATGCTCTATAAAAGGCTTCTCAGCTAACCTCTCCCAGTCCCTCCCGGAATAACTCAAAAGAGCTGATGAGGCCATTGGTTTTGTTTTTTGCTGGATCACAGCCTCGAGAGACAAGCTCCCTTCCCAGTCAGTGTGTACCTTCCTCTGGGGTGCGCACTAGCAGCACTTCGCTGTCCATGCCCTGGAACTCATCGAAATATGGGCGGATTTTGATCTCATATTCTTGGCCCTTGTGCAGCTCCACCAGAACAGTGCTTCGTTCAGTGGGCGACTTCACGTCCTGCACCAGCCAGGCACTGCTCTTGGGCCGGTACATCACTCGGTAGCCTTGGATGAACTGAGCCTGGCGGTCCACCTGAATGAAAGGAAGACACGCCAGTGAATGCTTGGACGCAGCACCTGTTGTCTCAGACCACACGGCTCCAGCTCCCTGTCTTCTCACCCACCCGTTCCTTCTCTCTGCTTCCCGACTTCCTGTTGTACTTCTCTCATTTCTCTGCCCCCAACCACAAACTCTTGCCTCCCCGCCCTCCCGTCAGCATTATCATATCGCTTCACCTCTATTTCCACAAATAGCTTTACACATTTCTTGTATGCTTTCTTGCCAAGCACCGTTCCCCTTTGCTGTAACCTCAAGAGCAGACACAAGACCCACCTTTTATCCCTGCTTGCAATAAAGGACTGGATTTCAATTGTTTAACATAGATAGTCCACCTGTTCTCTGTATCCATCTTAGGGCATATCTGCACTACAGACATTGATATAAGAACAATTCTTTCTCCCAAAAGGAGGGCCCCCCAGCATAGGTAAAGGTAAAGGTTCCCCTTGCTTGAAAGCCAGTCGAGTCTGACTCTAGGGTTGCGGTGCTCATCTCCGTTTCAAAGCCGAAGAGCCAGCGCTGTCTGAAAACGTTTCCGTGGTCATGTGGCCGGCATGACTGAACACCAAGGCGCACGGAACGCTGTTACCTTCCCACCGAAGTGGTACCTATTTATCTACTTGCAATTTCTTGCTTTCGAACTGCTAGGTTGGCAGGAGCTGGAACTAGAGACGGGAGCTCACTCCATCATGCGGTACCCGGGTCTCGAACTGCTGAACTACCAACCTTCCACAGCCTGCAGTTCAGCATCTTAACCACTTGAGCCCCCAGCATGGTGCCCACCAAATGTTTGGAAGATGTGGATGGGGCCAGGTGGAGCTCTTGCCTATCATGGAATCTCAACTGGCCTCTGGAGATCTGACCGGCTGTGCAGATTAAACTGATGCTGCTTCGGTGACAGCAACGCTGGTTTTATTCTCTCTCTCTCCTCTTTTCCAGCACATTGTTTAAAACATTCCTCTTCACCCCTACACTTGGGACTTCCTCTGGGTATGTGCATGGTTCCGCCTCCCACCACAGCCATTTTGTGGTTGACTCCACTTCCCACCACAGCCATTTTGTGGCTGCGCCCACCACCTTGTCTCAAGAATTCCAAAGGTGTCCTCACGCTCAAAAAGACTGGAGACCCCCCACCCTTGAGATGCCTGGGATTGCAGTTCTGGGAGGGTGTGTGTGCTGAGATCAGGCAATTCTTAGCAGCCACGCCTACCCAGAATTATTTTACTCCCACACATTTCAACCGTGACAGTTAAATTAGCACAGAACCTGTACGAAATCTGTAGTACAGGCATACACATGCTCTGCCTTTATTATTCCCTGCCTTGTCTTGGTGCTTCTCTTTGAAAAATGATTCCACATATGTGACACGCTAGACGTCAGGCCGCAGCATCAAGCTCAGGGTTCCCAACCCCTTTCTTTCTTTCTTTCTTTCAGTGCTCCAGACTACCCCGACTCCTTTGCAGCTCTCTGATCTCTATAGACCAGGGCCAGCTGTACCAAGAAGCGACACGGAGCACGAACGTTGGTGACATTTCCCCATTTCAGATTTTTATCTCGGTGTGTCATTTACAAACTGCAGCCCATGGTGTCCTCGCGACTTTTCAGCTGCAAAAATATCGAAGCCCCATATTGCCGGGGACTTTAATAAACTTCAGTTAAGTAGACCTTCTCGACTCATGGATTTGCAGCTTGTGATTTCACTTACTTGTGGACTGCGGTCAAACCCCAGGATGTGGTATCCAGCCTGTTTTTACTCCCACCACTACATCCTCCTCATCGTTACATTTCGTGGGAAATGTAGCTGCTTTTCTAGTGGGAGGCAGCAGATGCCCTGACGCCCAGCAGTCGTGGATTTCCCCATTTGTGGTGATCCCAGGAACTGCAGCCTCATCAGATCTTGGCAGCTAAGTGGGGTCAGACCTGGTTAGTACTTGGATGGGAGACGATCAAGGAGCTCCAGGGTTCCTACACAGAGGCAGGCAATCGCAAGCCACCTCTGAATGACTCTTTCCTTGAAAACCCTACAGGTTCACCATACGTCAGCTGCGACCTGAAGGCCCTTTCCACCACCAGGAACGGCTTCCCCACCAATTATGAGGTTCAACTGCATTTCTGTTGCCTAGCCCCTTCATCAAGCCACTCGCTGATTACCCCACCGTCTCATTTGGGAGAAGGGTCAAGGGCCCCGAGGGTACTCACGGTCCATGTCACTTGGATGGTGGTGGAGGTGAGGATGACGGGCTCCTGCAGCTGGACCACAACCTCGCCGAGTTCCTTTTGCACCTGCCTGTGATCTACTCCCTGCCGGGTGGGACTCACATCTGCCAAACCAGAGAAGACAGGAGCCTGAGCAAGACCAATGCAAGAGGCTGCTTCTCCAGCACTCTCTTTTGCAGACAGAAGCACAGATCAAGGTAGCTGGCCTTGGAAGGGTAGGACTTGCAGCACCAGAAGCTACCCAAACCTTTATTCTGGTTATGTGGAAACTATTGGGCAGGGAACCAGACTGTAAAGACAGCCAAAGACAAGTTAAGTCAAATAGTTGGGGGAAGTTGAACATAAGGGAGGAGCACAGGGCGGAATGAAACTGAGAGACAGGGGGACTTAGAGGTTGAGGCACTGGAATCAAATAATGGAGATACAGGTTCAGTTCCACGAAGCTCACGGGAAGGTAGTGGTTAAGCGTGGTGGATTCTAATCTGGAGAACTGGGTCCGACTCCCCACGCCTCCACATAAAGTCAGCTGGGTGACCTTGGGTCAGTCACAGCTTTCTCAGAGGTCTCTCGGCCCCACCTACCTCACAGGCAATGCTCCCTCTAAGCTGTGGAGTCTTGTGAGCAAAAATTCTACTTTGTGACCTACTGGTATTAAAGCCATGAGCAGGTGATTTGGCTACTGCATAAATTAGTTTGCTCTGGAGCCCTCTCTTCCTGAGCTAAGAAAAAAAACTGTGAGCTAGAGGCTAAAAAACTGTGAGCAAGCTCACACTAACTCAGCTTAGAGGGAACACTGCTCACAGGGTGTTTGTTGTGGGAAAAGAAAGGGAAGGCGATTGTAAGCTGCTCTGAGACTCCTTCAGGTAGTGAAGGGTGGGGTATGAAACGTCTCCTCCTCCTCCTCAGTCAATCTTTATCTCTCAGACTAACTGACCTCACAAGATGGTTGTGAATGACAAATGGGAGGGGGAACCCTGCCCTGAGAGCTCCTTGGAGGGAGGCCAGTTTTTAAATAACTCTCATAAACCACATTAATAATTAGAAGGACCCGAGTGACCCTGGACTGCACAGCGCAGACAGCCGTCTTTGATTTCTCCTTTTTACTTTCTGTCCGTGATCATCCAGAAAGCTTGGGAGTTCAAAAGCCAATTTGGCCCTTTTAAAAATTGGCCCCGGTGGTAACTGCAAAGAAGCAACAGAAGGGCCCTGCACTGAATGAGCGGAGAGACTTTTGGCACGCGGTGCTGATTAATAAGCTAAAAAATTATAACAGACTCTGGGAAGGTATGAAAATTAATCAGCTGTCATCTTTGGAGTATTGGTGCATATTTGTAATTTAATGGAACAAAGTTAAACTACCTGAAAATCTGAAGTGTTCTCTATTATTTAAGATAGAATGCATTGATTCTGACACTGTTTATCTTTTAAACGGCTTTCCTTTTTCTTTGTTTTCTGATTCTATTTTACATATAATGTGTGTGTGTACATGTTAGGAGCCCGCGCCTTTGTAGTTTAGGGGGGGGGAACTGCGCCAAGAAAACAGAAATGCTGCAACCAGTATAAACCATATAAAACAAACACATTATAAATGTATATGCTTATTTTGCGCATCTGTTCACTTTGAGAGGGGAGGGGATGACCATTATGAGGGGCACTGAGGCATCCACTCAGCCCCGTAGCCAGGGATTTATTTGTTGGGGGGGTAGGAGAGGGAGTGGGGGGGGAGGGAGAGTAGTAGCTACTTACTCACTGTGATCATGTGACCCCTCAGGGGAGGGGAGAGCTTGTGCTGGGATGAGCAGCGCCGGCCCAAAGCGACTGGACCAAAGCGACTCCCGTAACAGGAATCGCTTCCGGCCAGCTCCACAAGGCCAGGTACTTCTCTGGAGAGGAGGAAGGAGCCTGGGACGTGTGGTGCTACCTTGCCTTGTAATCCATGCTGGTCCTTGCAATCCTTCCTTCTTCTGCTTCCTCCATCACCCCCCCCCCCCGCCAATGGGAGCAGGAAGAAGGAAGTATTACAAGAGCCATCGTGGATTAAAAGGCAAGGTAGCACTACTTGTCCCAGGCTCTCTCCCCACCCCGCCAGCCTTTGTAATCCATCCATCCATCCATCCATCCTTCCTTCCTTCCTCCCCCACCCCGTCAACGGGAGGAGGAAGAGGGAAGGATTACAAGGGCCAGTGCAGATTTTAAAAGGCAAAGTACTTTTCCAGGGGGCGGGGGATGCAGCAGTGGGGGCACTGAAGATTCAATAGGGGCACTGCCCCCCTGCGCCTCCTGCTGGCTGCATGGCCCTGCATCCACTCCTCAATGAATGGTCACAAGTTGCAGAAGTTGGAAACGGTCATTCTCTCTCTCTGAGCTCTACCCACCAATTCTGATTTCATTTTCCTGCCTATGTTGAGCAGCCTTACTCAGGTCCACAGCCCCTTCACCATTTTTCTGAGCCCCTCACAATCTTGTAGCATAACCTCTTGGCAATCGGCTTGTGACTGGGCCATTCCCCTCCCCATGGACTGAAGTAAAGCGTAACTATTTACTCCCCACCACCCTCTGTTCGTGCCCAGGAGACACCAATCTGTTTGCTTCTATGAGCCGTTCTACAAATTTCATGCAAATGTAAAATTGAAGATCAATGGTCCTGATTTGGTTTAAAAATCAATCTGGAATGCATGACGGATGGCAGCAGCAGAAGAAGAGAAGATGCGGGCAGGAGGGGGTATTGAACCCTTTCCCCTCTCCCTCTTCTCTTCTCTGAATCGCCTCCTCAACTGGCTTTACTCTCTCGTGTGCCAAACCCAGCAGGGGAAATTCTGTGGGAGGATGGAGGAATTCAGACTAGGAAAATGACTGGCATGGAAAGCATTAAGCACATCTCCCCATATGACTTTTCCGCTGTTAACGGCAGCCTCCCCAAAGCTGCTTTTCAAACAAGTAAAACAAAACAAAGTGGGTTAATTAACTGGTTGCAGTTACTCATTTGTATGGGCAGTGTGAATCTTGGATCTCAGATTTCATCATTTACTGCCCACACAATCTTAGTTTTGTAGCTGCAAAAGCTAGAATCTCCCCTTACCCCAAAAGCAAAATAAACATCTTAGGATACTGGAGTATTTCAATAATAGGCCTGTGTAGTTCAGATGCATAACTGCAAAGGTCACATTCGCCATGAGCCCCTAATGAAAGCAATCCCTGAGCACACCTTTCAGTTTCTTAAGATCTAGACTGATAGGGTACATACAGCTGTCCACACTGAGTCAATGTGACCTAGTGGTTAGAGTGCTGGACTAGAACCTGGGACACCCAGGTGTGACCCCACTCCCCCATGGAAGCTTGCTGGGCGGCCTTCGGCCAGTCACTCTCCCTCAGCCCAGCCTACCTCACAGGGTTGTTGTTATGAGGATAAAAACAGAAGGATGGGAGGATGGCGTTGTATGCTGCTTTGGATCCCCACCGGGGAGAAAAGCCGGGTATAAATATCGAAATGATGACCTGGAGACTGGGGACTACCAAGCCATTTGAATTCTGGTCAGATTCAGAAGGACCTCACCTTGCGTGCGGACCGGCTCCGAGACAGGGCTGGGGTCGCTCAGGCCATACATGTTGACAGCCCGTATGAGGAAGAGGTAGATGGTGTTGGGGTTCAAGCCGCTGACCGTGTGCTTCTCCACCTTCACGTTATCGGCCACTGTCTGCCACGTGCTCCCCGATGACTGACTGCAATGGAACAGAGACGGCATGAGATGGATGCTCAGTCTTCCCACCCCCTGGGGGCACAACTGCCTGGACACAAGAAGCTGACTGATGCAGATCCAGGCCTTGAGCTCACATAGCCAGCGTAGACCAGCAGTGCTTCTCCCCGCTCTCCAGCACAGGTTTAAAAACAAAGCAAAACGTTTGCAGTTCAGCTCACTGAGATTCAAGGGATTCGATCTGGGACTGCTCTCTGGGGGAGACGGGAGAGCCAGGGTGATTTGGGTAGGCTTGGAGGGAAGGGGGGGGGAGTTTAGCCTGTGGCTCTGCTCTGTGGCAGGCAAGGAGACAGGAGTTAGAGCCAGTGTGGCGTAGTGGCTAAGGGTGTTGGACTAGTAGCTGGAAGGCCCAGGTTCAAATACCCCGTCATGCTGTGGAACCTTGCTGGATGAACTTAGGCCAGTCACACTCTCTCAGGGTAAAACAGGGGAGAGGAGAATGATGTAAGCCACTTTGGGTCCCCCCCACTGGGGTGAGAGGCAGGGAATAAATGAAGTACGTAAATAATATGAAAGCAAAGGTCATGACTCACCTGACTCTTTGGGCCCCTGGAATCCTGCCTCCCTATTTTCCCTGCCTGAGAGTCCTGTAAGCTTAACAGCCCCCAGTTTGTCTCTGGGCCTGCTTCGGACTACAGGTTTTGAACTCTAATTCTAAAAAAGGTTGTTATGTATATGAGCTTATTATCCTCCACAGATCCTTTCCTAAGTCCCTAATCTGCATCTCCCACAGTCTGTAATGCAGTGGGTTGCCCTAAACGACAGGGCCTTTTTTGTGCTGGCTCCTGCTCAGTGGCCGTCCTTCTTAAGTGAGACCTCTCAAGTGGGTTCAGATGGCACGTGAACACACAATTACTTTAGAGGACATCTGGGACTGCTGATCATTACTAGCCTGACGGCTTTGCTGCATTTCCATTTGGTACTTCCTTCACAGGAATGAAATTTCATTTCTAAGCCTATTGCATGTGTTGCTATAAGCTGCCTTGGGAAAGGCAAGGGGGTATCCAAAACAGCTGTACAGCATGGAAAAATGGGGGGATTTAATAGGCATGGCACATCAGTTGCTGCCAAGGTTCCCCTGTTCATTGTGCTTGCTGTTGCCAATATCCTCTTGAGCCGTGGCTCGGGATCCTGAATCGCGCAAGAGAGAGAGCCAGGAAAGAGTGACAAATTCATTAAGCATTTATGAACATGTCTAAGGTGAGTCTTCCCAACCAATCAGTGACATTGAGGAGGGCAGGCGAAATGCATTCTTTTATTATTATCCCATTGTTCTTCCACTGTGGCACTCAGTGAGCCAGCGTGGTGGTGCAGTGACTAAGAACTGGGATACCTGAGTTTAAATCCCCACTTTGCCACGGAAACTGGCTGGGGGACCCTGGGCCAGTCGCACACTCTGAGCCTGCCTTACCTTACAGGGGCATTGTGAGGATGAAATGATGGAGAGGAGAATGAGGGAAGCGGTTTTGGGTCCCCATTAGGGGGAAAGATGGGATCTACACGAAGTAAACAAATAAAGCACACTGGCTGCCTAAGGACAGTTCCTTTCCAAGCACTGACTAGATCCAGACTTGCAGAGCTTCACTCAGGACCTTCAAACTATAGTCCGGATTTCTAGTCTTGCAACTGCACATCCCTAGGTATTGCGTCCTCGTTGAAATATCACGATAATTTGCAACTGGACGGTCGCCTCCGCACAGGAAAATCTGCTTGCAAATTTATGTTCTACTGCAATGAGATCTCAATATCCACTGAGGTGTGGAAGCAGCCCCAGTCAGGAGTGCAGCTTCGAGGGGCCTCTGCCCCGGTCCCTTGTTTTAGAAATTAAAGGTTCGATCCTCAGGAGAGCCAAGAGGGCAGGAAGTGTTGTCAGCATTGCCGATCAGAGTTTTCAAGGTCCAGAATCTAACGGTGGCCTGACTGACGGCAATTTTCTTTTCTTTCTTTTTTTTGCCGCAGGCTCAGCTTGGGAAGTAAACAGGAAGCTGGACCCATGCCAGGTTTATTCATTCCAAAAATGAAATGTTGCCATTTCCAGGATGCAGGGCTTCCTGTGGTCTGTACAAGAGTGTGGGGGTGGGGAATGGGGGGTGGTCCAATCTGCCCCTTCTTGCAAGACTCGGGTCTGCAGTCAACAGAGAGCCGAGCCAGGCTGGAATGTCAGAGCATGTTCTACAAGGACACTGAAGACCTGAGAACTGCAGACTGGCTGAGATGTGCCGTTTCACCGGTTTGCCAGGACACACAATAAAAACAACTTACGTACCTAAGTGCCAGCAAGTTGCAACCAACTTATGGTGACCCCAGCAAGGGGCATTGGAGGCAAGTGAGAAGCAGAGGTGGTTTATTCATTTAGTTTGATTTCTAGCCCGCCCTCCCCTGCATGGTAGGCTCAGGGCGGGTTACAATAGTATAATGAGACGATACCATAGTTAAAAACATAAATATAAACAATCATTAAACCCCAAATGTAAACATCAATCAGTAATAACAGTTCCATAGTAATCAGTGGTGCCAATTGATACCTCTACTCCTGGATAAACTCCACATATGTGCGCAGTAGATAGTAACTAATACTGAGGGAGCTAGGCAGACGAGAAGAACAATACAAGATGGAACCAAGCAGGGGGACGCCAATACTGATAAATCTCCGCTGCCTACTCTGGGCCTGGAGGAACATCTCCATTTTACAGGCCCTATGAAACCGTATTAAGCCCCGCGGGACCTGGATCTCTCTTGGGAGAGTGTTCCATCAGGCTGGTGCCAGAGCTGAAAAGGCTCTTTGAGGGACATACCAGAAGAGACAGTCATAGAATCACAGAATGTTAGAGTTGGAAGGGATCTTGCAGGTCATCTAGTCCAACCCCCTGCACTCAGCAGGAGCATAGCAGAAAGATCGCCCTATAACATACCCAAAAGATGGTTGTCCAGCCTCCGCTTGAAAACGTCCAGCGAAGGAGCACCCACCACCTCCCGAGGCAGACTGTTCCACTGCTCAACCACTCTTACAGTTAGGAAGTTTGTCCTAATATTTAGCCGGTAACAACTCCCTTGTAATTTCCACCCATTAGATCTAGTCTTGCAATTCGGAGCAAGAGAGAATAGATCTGCTCCATCTTCTACATGACAGCCCTTCAAATACTTGAAGACTGCAATCATGTCCCCTCTAAGCCTTCTCTTTCCCAGGCTAAACATACCCAACTCTTTCAGCCTTTCCTCATTGGATTCCAACCCTCTCACCATCCTGGTTGCCCTTTTCTGGACACGCTCGAGCTTGTCAACATCCTTCCTAAAATGTGGTGCCCAAAACGGGACACAGTACTCCAGGTGAGGCCTGACCATAGCAGAATAGAGCGGAACTACCACCTCCCGTGATCTGGACACAATGCTTCTGTTAATGCATCCTAAGATTGCATTAAACTATGTTCGTCCCAGACCGCATATGGCTTTAAAGGTTAAAACCAGAACCTTAAACTTGACTTGGCATTCAACTGGGAGCCAGTGCAGCTGGAGGAGCACTGGTTGTACATGGGCTCTTAGGGTGTTCCTGTGAGGACATGCGCCATTGCCTCCGTCTGCAGAGTCTTCCTTGGTAGTCCCCAACTCAAGTAACCAATCATGCTTAGCATCTGAGATCTGACTAGATCGGGCTATACCATGCCGCCTTCCCTCCCTACAGGCAACTTCACACCCTCTTTAACTCTGCATCTCCGTAATGCTGCATGCACACCCATGCGCCAAGACAAGCCTAGAGCCAGCTTGTCCAGTGATTTACAGTGCGTTCTCAATTGCCTCAATGTTTGCGGAATTTCTCACTGCTAACCCAGCCCCTGCCCCCCCCCGCCACCTGCGCTCCCCCACAAACCTTCAGCTCCGGAGCCATCTGCTCCGAGGTAGGTTGGCCCAAGTCTTTAAGCCACGGGAGAAAGCAGTGTTTGCCTTTGCTCACGGGGCACCTCAGCAACCCGGCTGCCGAAAGGAAGAATTTGAGCCATGGGCCGTTAGGTGGCCTGCCGTCAGCAGGGAATGACAAACAGGGGCTTAATAGGGATTCGCTGGGGTGACCTACTGCCCAGGAACGTGCTGACAGCAAAACATTTACCCAGCTGCCTGCTTCTGCTCCCGTGACCTCCAAAACCCTCCTCCAGACAGCCTCGCTGGGGCTGATGAAGCAGAAAAAGATTCGGTGCTTTGCAACACCAAAGCAGTCTCGACACAAACAAGATTCAGAAATTGTCATCCTCAGATTACAGGCTAACATGAACAAGAACACACGCACACGCCGCCGACTACCGGCAGGTCATTTATAGGTCACTGCGATTCTCTAGGGAACTGTGATGTCTACCTGTAAAAAAACACAACACAACTGCTCCTGTTGATGTGACCGCTTAGTGAATGGAACACTTGAGAGAGCTAACTGCACGCTCTTAATGCACGCCAGTCTTTGATTCACCACTTACATGTTGTACAGGGAATTAATGAGCATTGTTATCCCCAGGATAAGACACTACAGAACAGCCCCAAGTCTGGCTTGTCTTCTAAGAGGCCCAGAGACTCTTCCCTGATCCACGCCTGCTTCTAAGCTACTTCAGTGTTCCCTCTAAGCTGAGTTAGTGTGAGCTAGCTCACAGTTTTTTAGCCTCCGGCTCACAGATTTTTGCCTTGGCTCAGGAAGGATAACTCCAGAGCAAACTAATCCATGTAGAAGCCAAATCGCTTGCTCACAGCTTTAATGCCAGTAGCTCACAGAGTAGAAGTTTTGCTCACAAGACTCCACAGCTTAGAGGGAGTATTAACTCACCCAAAGAGGAAACCTGTCCAGGTAAACCGATTCTTCCCTACAAAACGTAATGACAATGAAATGAAGGGGACCCTGGTAGGTGAAGGTACTCCCCATCAATAAGCTCTCCTTATTACCTTACATTGTCTCGATACTGAAGCCTGAAAGGCATGAAGGCATGTGACTGGAGCTGGGTCAAACTCTAGCTCCACAATCCAGTGGGTAGCAAAAGATCGGAACGGATGATGGGAAAGGGCACGCATGTGTGCATCTGCACGCATGCGCTCGATACTGAAGCCTGAAAGGTGGGTAGCAAAAGATCAGAACGGATGATGGGAAAGGGCATGCATGTGTGCATCTGCACGCATGCACAAGTGAGCCACGGGAACCAAAGAGCCAAGAAGGGAGGTGGAGGCAGAAGGCCCTCTGGATTGTGGCAGCAGCTTCTTTGACCTTGGTTAAATAAAAAGTTAACACCCTACATCCTGATTCATTTGAAAGAATGTGTATTGATTAAGGGTGCACATAATGCACTGCACGAGCAACCCCGGGTCACACACACAAAGGAGTCAGATCCTGCGTTTTGTTCAATGTGACCTCTTTATTGTAACACATGCAGAGTGACGTTTTGAGATAGATTGTTCGGGACTTATAATTGGGGACAGTCAGTGCTGCAAAGACACAGTGGGACTGGCTCATTCTCAAAGGTTTACCTCCTACCTCCTTTTTGTTCTCTCTCCCTCTCACACACATGCACACATCCCCTCTCTCCCTCCCTCCTCCCTCTCTCCCTCTCTCTCTCTCTCTCCCTCCAGGTTCACAGCTTCTACAAATTTACAATGCTCATCAATGTACTTTTCTTCTACTGCATATCAAATGGGAGAAATCCGGGAGAAGGTACGACTGCCTTGGACAGGCCTCAGGAGAGGCAGGATATATACTTTCTAAGCAAATGAACCAGCAAGCCAGGAAACCCAGTCATGACGGACGATAACTATTCATTGGAGGTAATGCCTGATTTGAGAGAGAGAGAGTGTACAAGATTATCCAAAGACTGGCTACCCAGTAATGTCTTCTTCACAAATTGGCAGAGCTCGTGAAGAATGAGAATTTGCTTTAGAAAGTTGTAGCCTGTGTACATGACCGGGCAAGGAGTATCTCATTCTGCCCCACAATCTCACATTGTATCTACTGGGCTGTTATTTTTTCTTCACCCTCAAACCTTCTCTGCTTTGTGCACAGGGGACAGCTACAAATACAACTTTCTTGCAACCTGAGAGTTACCTGAATGCTTCTATTATGTAAGAGCTGACTGTGGCTCCTCCGCTTACAGGGTTCGGCTTCCAAATCAAAGCAACACTGTTCTTGGTGACGTCGGTGACCAGAGGTGCAGACGGCGGCCCTGGGAGAAGGCTTGGCTCTGGGACCTGCATCTGGAGGTCAGCCCCATTTTCTAAAGAAACAAATGTGGCGGAGGAGAAGGTGAGAGAGTGATAATTTTGCAAGCCAGTGTGGTGCAGGACGGAGGAAACCCCAGGTTCAAATATGCAGCCTGCCTTTTTTATGCAGCTGGAAGCTGCCTGGCAGAGAGTCGCGGGATACAGCTCTTCAAAGCTAATTAAAAAGATCAATAGAAAAAATCCACACCCAAAACCGACAAGTCCTGTTGTTAATCAGAGGAGAAGGAGTTAGCCTCAAGGATAGGTCTTGTCTAGGTACAAGTCTTGTGACTAACTGGTCTGTACATGAATTCTCATAGATGCAATGAACATGAAATTGAGCAAACTTCAGAGGACGGCAGAAGACAGGAAGGCCTGGCGGGATCCGGTCCATGGGGTCGCGAAGAGTCGGACTCGACTGTGCGACTGAACAACAACAACATGAATTCTGGTCTCAAGTACTCTGGAGGAATACGGAAACTGTTGGGATTGTGGTTTTGCTTATTCACTGGGCTATTTGTTTTGCAAAAAACCATTTTGGCCAAAAGAGAGTTCTTTATTTTAGTGAAAAGTCTGTAAAACCTTGTGTGGGGTCTGGGTGGCCCCAGATCACCACTGCATCTTTGTGTCAACAACGTTATTCCTTGAGGTGGTTTCACATTTAACCGCCTGGGCTCCAGCTCTTACTGGTAGGAATGTGCTTGCTGGGCTAGAAAGCAGATCGTGGCTTACTGCCTTTTCAATGAGCCATTCTTGGATAGGAATCCAAGCAAGGCTCCGGGTTGCTGAAGGCAGCAGAAATCGCTGTCCCGGAGACATGGGCCAGCTCAGGTTTTAAGGCCAGAAGACCCAGCTGTGATTTCATGAATCTCTGAATAAGTCAGACATTCATCCACTCCATTCTGGCTAAGAGGCCAACCACCAGCGAGGGAGCTAGAGATGGTTGGTAAGAGAACAGATTTTGCAAGGAATAGTGATGCATTCTTGGGTCTGCTTTAAGTGCTGTCCAGAGAGATGCAAATAGGGAAAAAATAACATCAGACTTGACCCTTGGTTACCAAGAGAGAAGCCGCATCTCAATTTTTTGCATGGCTAAAGGCTAGGAAAGCCCTCAGCCTGAGACCCTGGAGAGCCACAGGGCAGAGGCAAGCTTTTAACCTCCTCTGTGATTCTTGCCGATAGCAGCAGCTGAGAGACTTGGATATGGGACACCCAAATTAAAATCCCTGATGCAAACTGGGAGCTGCTTTTTACAAAGGCAGGCTATTATTGATCTGGTCCTGGGGTGTCTGTTCTGTCTGCTAAGAGCTCTCTAGGGTCCCAGGCAGAGAAAAGGGCTTTCCCAGTCCTGCCAGCCTGAAATCCTTAGCCAGGGATTGAACTTGGGACCTTCCGCATGCCAAGCAGATGCTCTTATTCAGTTGCTGGGTGGCCATCTGTCTCTTAGCCTAAGCTACCTCAGCATGTGGCTGTGAGGCTACCAGGGTAATCCTTAACAGAGATAAACCCTCTCAAGCCCATGGAAGCCAATGGTTTTAGATGGGTGTAACTCTGCTTAGGGTTTCACTGTAAATGACAGTTCTCTTCAAGAAAGAAGAGGGGAAGAAAGCAAGCAAGAAAGAAGTGTGCCCCCTGAGTTTCCGTCCAATGTCAAGGGCTGGAATGATTGGGCATCTGCCGAGGCCCATGGCCCAACCAAGTGTCCTCTGCTGATTGAAAATGCTGGGCTGGTCACCCGTCTCTCAACTGAGAAAGTGCTTGCCGGCAGTGGAGCAGGCAGAGTGCAAGAGGATCTCATGTTTTGCTACCTACTCCAGGCACCCTTCATTGGGAAACTGGTGGCATCGCAGGGTCCTTGGGCACAATGTCTTGTTTCCAGCTGGGAGGATCCCTGCAGAGTGAGTGAGGAACACCTAGGCTGCGGTCACACACACTAAATAATCCACTTCCAGCGCACTTTCCAGCTGGATTTTATGGTGTGAACTGGCAAAATCCAGTTGGAAAGTGGACTGAAAGTGGATTATTTAGTGTGTGTGACCGCAGCCCTAGTCTTTCACACTTGTTTGCGCCCTGGTTCTACCAACAAACCCAAAAGAAACAAAGCTCCTCTGCGTCCCCCTCCTATGGGAGTACCTCCAGAAGCCCTTGCTACATCACAAGCCTCTTTGAAGGGCTTCCACTTCCTGCAGCCCTGACTCTTTCATGCTCCTTTTAGACCCACCAGCACGGATGGGGCTAAACAGTGTAGCCAATGTTTTTAGGTACGTATGGGGGAGAAATTATTTGAGAGTCGGGAAGGGCAGAGAAGGGAGTTGCCATGGACAACCCAAGAACCAAGTGGTCTGGGACCCATAAAAACCTATAGCCGAGCCTGTGCCAACAGTTGCCCTTCCTGAAGCGCTACTGACCTCGCACTGCCAGGAACCCACTCCATGTCGTCTCACCGGTGGAGCTTGTTGCAACACAAACATACAGTCCGGAGTCTGAAACCTGAAACATGCAAAAAGGAGGATGTGATTCATTCCCAACAATGGTGGAAGGAACTGCCCTTGAGAGAACAGCTCTGAAAGAACTTATGACTGACCCTAGGTCACACCAGCAGCTGCATGTGGAGGAGTGGGGGAATCAAACCGGGTTCTCCCAGATTAGAGTCCGCGCCCTTAACCACTACACCAAACTGGCTCCAAATGGTAGTATCGAAGTGCACAGGGGCCTCAGGGCTTGTCCTACACCAACCCGCACCCATTATCCCACATCGTGATTTGTCCCATGTCCTGGAACTAAAGCATGGGACTCCATTCCCTCCCCCCCCCACCCAAAGAAAAGGATCCATATAACGTACGGTCTAGATACGAAAAATGAAACTAATTCCAGAGTTCCTTACCATTTTCACCTGGTAATTGATACTCAAAAAGTGAGGGTGTCCAGGTGAACATCAGCATAGACCAGGCATAGATGTTGAAATCATTTGTTATGAGGGCTGGATCTGACATAAATGTCACTTTGTCAGGCCAGGCCATGCATGCCATAAAAGGAATGCCAGGTACTGGAGATATAAACTTTATAAAGGACAGCAGCTGGGAAGCTCCGAGTTGGTGTGTCCTCACTGCAAGGTCCCGTGGGCTGTGGAGAGGGGTGCAGAGGAACACCCCCCATGGGTGGACTGGAGAGCCAGTGGTGCAACACTGGGCAGATGCTCCAATGCTGCTTGACTGTTGCTATGCTGAACCCACAATCGCAGTGGCTCCGCCCACTCACCCCTCCCCAGCAGTCTCCTGTTCCTTCCCTTGCGCCAGCTGCTTGCGGGCCACATAAGAGCCCTGGATGGGCCGGTTCTGGCCCCCGGGCCTTGTTTGACACCCCTAGATAGAGAGAAATGCACAAGCAAGGTGCCACAAGAAATGAGAGCAGGTGACCTGCTCTCTGGCAGCTACCCACTTTACTTCTGAATCTCTGAACAGGGGAATAAGTTCTCACAGAAGCTGTTGGTTCCTGACATGGTCAAGATTCAAACCCACATCTCACGGGCCCTAGTCTGATATTCTGACTAATTCATACACCACAAAAGCTCTCAGAGAGCTTTAGAGAACCCACATTTTGAACCACAACCACAAGTGAAGTGTAAACCACTCCCACTCTTTCAACACAGGCCTCGAAATTAGCAGCTTCATTCTGGACTGATGTCCCATAACAGTCTTCAAAGGCAGCCCCAGCTAAAGCACACTGCAGTAGTCTCATCTGGATGTAATTATTTATCTATTTATTTATTACTTTTGATTTGTATCCCGCCGTGCCAAGACAAACTGGCTCAAGGCGGTATACAGTAGTTAAAATATGATAAAACAATAAATACAATAAAATTCACAGATAACAATTACATAAAGTGCTAGCAAATACAGAAGGTGGTTGCTATAAAATAGATGAATAAAAGAAGGCAATATCCAACGTTATAACATGGGGGCCATAGCGTGTTCAATTTCTGATGGCTCATTCATCAGTGGCGGCTCCTAATTGAAGGCCTGGTGGAAGAGCTCCATTTTACAAGCCCTGCAGAACTGTAAAAGGTCCCGCAGGGCCCTGATGTCCTCCAGGAGCTTATTCCACCAGTGTGGAGCCGCCACTGAAAAGGCCCTAGCTCTGGTTATGGCCAGTCTGGCGTCTCTCAGACCAGGGAGAGTCAGGTGATTTTGTGACCCTGGCCTCAGTGCTCTCTGAACAGCACCTTGAAACGAATCCAGTATGCTATTGGCAGCCAGTGCAGTGCCTTCAGCACAGGCTGGCCGACTTGGCAGGAAGGATCTCCAATAAACTGGAGTCTGCAGGGCTTGGCAAGGCTCTGTAGAGAACATCCCCTCTCCGAGGGGCTCATGGCAGGAAGAGGAAGCTGGCATCTTAGCAGAGATCTGTCTCCCATTCTGGAGGCAGGCAAGGGGCCTGTAGCCTGCTGTGCTGATGGCCATTATATGGGACACTGAGAGGGGAGGGAGGAGATCGCTCTTATGTCCCCACCAGGTGGGCTTGGAGCTGAGGCTCAGGAACCGCTGCCCCACTTTCCCCCATGAATCAGAGTGGCCTGATGAGGCGGCCCATCCTTAGGGACCATTAACTCATACTAGTCCTCCAATCCACCTGACAGCTCTAATTTTTTCCTGGGCAAAGAGCCACAACTGCTATAAAATGATGCTATTAGGCGCACTGGGACCCGGCTGATGCATTAACCTCCTGACTCTGACACAATGAAGGCACAAAACCAACGTGAAATATTTCACTCCCCGCTGACTTGCCGGCATCAATTTTTAAACAAATGTTTAGCGTCAGTTCTGTGTTTTGATAAGTAATTCATGAATAACCTCCATGTTACCCCGATGGCGGATCCAGTTCTGGTGCGGAGAAGGGGCAGGCTGCCGGACCCGCCATGATACAGACCACGGAGAGCTACATACGGAGCGGCAGAGCCTCTGCCTCAAGATACTCTCCTCTCCTCTGTCACTTCAGGCCTCTGCCTGCTATATTCCCCCCAAGACAAAATTTATGCGCCAAGAAGACCCAAATACCTAGAGCTAAATTATGCAAATCTAATGCATTGCTAGACAACTACTTATTATACACAATGCCCTGGGGGGTGGAGGTTCCGTGTTTTCAAAGAACTGTGACTTTTGAGGACTAGTTGACAAAGGGAAAATGGGAAAGGCGTGTGTGTGTGGGGGGGAAGTGAGCATTGGCAGGCCTGACTGTTTTTCAATCCAAGTTCTGCATTTCTAATACAGGTATATGAATATTTTGGCCTACCTTACTGAGTTGTTGTGAAGATTCTGGGTGTGGATGACGGTTCTAAGTACTGTTATTTTGTCATGTATTAGAAAGAAATGTGCTAGAAAAGAGCCGGTGTGGTGTACTGGTTAGACTATCAGAAAAGGATAAAGAAAATGTGCTAGAAAAGAGCCGGTGTGGTGTTAGACTATCAGAAAAGGATAAGGAAGATCCAGGTTCGAATCCACACTGGGTGACCTTGGGTCAGCCACTTTCTGTCAGCCTAACTTACCTCAGACCCTGACCTGGACAGCCCAGGCTAGCCTGATCTCATCAGATCTCCACAGCTAAGCAGGGTCAGCCCCGGCTAGTATTTGGATGGGAGACCTCCAAGGAGTACCAGGGTTCTGACACAGAGGCAGACGATGGCAAACCACCTCTGCTCATCTCTTACCTTGAAAACCCTATGTGGTCACCCATAATCCAGCTGTGATTCGACAGCACTTCCCACCACCAACCTACCTCACAGGGTTGTTGTGAGGATAAAACTGAGGAAGGCAGTACAGCGTCATAAGCCAGAGGAGGGAAAAGTGGTGTATAAGCTGCTAAATAGATAAATATACATAAATGCCATGTGCTTTACCTTGAAATCCATAATGGAAGAACTGTGGGATGTAAATGCAATAAATGATGGGATTAATTTTTACTGTATTTATATTCCGCCTTTCTCCCCAATGGGGATCCAAAGCGGCTTAATTCTCCTCTTCTCCATTTTATCCTCACAACAACCCTGTGAGGTAGATCAGGCTGAAAGTATGTGACTGGCCCAAGGTCACCCAGGAAGCTTCCATGGCACAAGTGGGGATTTGAACCAGGGTCTCCCTTATCCAGATTGCACATGAAAAGCAGGATTTAAAATGCTGCGAGTTCAGAAAGCCTTGGAGGTAAGGAGTTAATCTTCCCTGAAGTGGGGAGCTTGTTTGATTGGCAGCTGTGTACTGGAGTCAGTAAAGCAGTTGGCTCCTGATAGAGAAAGAGGAGAAAGACATGTCTGGAGTCAGTAGTTCTGACGGGACTGGTCAGACATGTTCTTCTTCTGAGAAGAGACTCCTTTGCTCTAATCGAATAAGACTACTCTGAGGGAGAATTGTGATTCTAAGTTCAGAAAGCTAAAAACTGCTTTACACAGACAACAGCACTGGAAGAGAGATTTGGCAAGGGTGACTGGGTTGTTAGGCTGTAACTCCCAATCAAGCCAAACCGAAAAGGGTTATTGCTTCTTAACGAAAAGAAGAATAATTCCTGCCAGTTGAAAAGGGGTTGACCTCTGAGAACTCTGGTCTGTGGTCAAGGGAATAAGCTTTAGACACCTCAGGACTTAGCGGAAAACTGTGTTTTCAAAAGGGAGAATGTTAGATACTTTAAGAAAGAGCAAATCTCCAGGAAACTCTGTGAAGTAATATTGAAACTGCTGAAATATACTAAGCAAATACCTCTCACTGAAAATATTTAGAAACCTCTGGTTTGTCTTAAAAATTTGTTCCTGTACAAAATACAACTTTTACTTCAGTATTTCTAAACCTTGACCTCCTTTATATATTCCCTGCCTGTTAAATAAAAATCTTTTATTCTGTTATTCTGCCTCAAGCGCCATTTTAAAAGGGTTTAAAAAAACAAGACAGCTCCTGTATTTCCCTCAAGTTCCTGTGCTGGGTCAGAAGCCTAAACAAATATCATAGAAGCATAGAATGTTAAGAGTTGGAAGGGACCTTGCAGGTCATCTAGTCCAACCCCCTGCACTCTGCAGGAGCATAGCTGAAAGATAGCCCTACATACCTACAACATAGCCCTACATACCTACAACATAGCCCTACATACCTACAACATACCCTCTTCCACATCTGGAAGAGGGCGGGACAGTTCAGTCTTCTAAGACAACGAAGAAATACACACTACTTGGGGGGTGACTCAGTCACTGAGGGGAACTAACATTTTGGTGGGAAAATCTGCCTGTGAGTTGGGAAGAGACAGGGGTCTGTCATAGCCACCTAGCAAGCTTCCATGGCACAAGTGAGGATTCGAACCATTTTGTGATTGGTTCCACCCTCAGCCATGGCACCCCTTTTGTTATGTTCTCAAAACTTCCCAAATGCCCACAGATTCAATAACTCTGAGAACACTGAATAAAAGACCCGAGAGGTAGTGGTGGTGGGCACAGCAAGATCTTTGAAGCTAAGGATAACAAGTCTGTGCTGGATCTGGGAATGGCCAAGAAACCAAGTAGGAATTTACAGAGGGGCACCTCATGGTCAAAAATATAACAGAGGTGAATTTTTTAGGCAGCAGAGTATTCGACAGAGGTGTCACGCCAGCTCTCCTGACCTTGTCCACGTCAATCAGGAGATGGTCCCCAAATGGAAGACTCTCCTATCACAGTCAAAGCACTCCATTCTAGCAAGAGACGTGGTCATTGTTTACATGCTATCCTTAAACATCGGTAATGGTGCTGCGGCTTTATTTTAAAGACAATCACAACAAGATGCTGACAGCTTCTTAATTCTTCGGAAGAAGACTGAAGATGTGTCATTGAAGGAGTTGAACATGAAAGACAACTATGGCTTTGAGAGGGTTGATTACTATCAAGCTCTTCTCGGCAGTGTATAACCTTGACTATAATGGAATTCACTGCAAAGTGTATTTAGACTCTGCTGCAAAGGCACTGAGATCTGGCTGGCACGCTCAGCTCTTTATTTATTAATATTTACTTTGTTAAAAGTAAGAAAATGGCACTGGGCTGTTTGTAGCCAGTAAAAAAAACGCAGGCACAAAGAAACAGCTTACTGCCAGTTAACAACATTAATTTCTTAATAAGCACACAGTTGCCTGGGCTGTTCTCCGGGCTGCTTTCAGGAGAGTTTAACAATTCCTATTCAGTTCTAAATCAGGCAATTACAGGCTCTCTTTTTATCAAGTAATTTCATTACTTAGCAATTTGCCGCAATTATGAAAGCAAGCAATTCAATTCCTAACTATGTTGTGGAATTCACGTGCTTGCTGCCTGCTTGCTCACTAGAGAGATTGGATTTACCCAGATGTAGAATGAATTGTGATCTGGACACATGTTTGAGTGCTCACAAAATTAGTTCAGGACACTAGGTAGAAGGGAAAAAAAAACCCAAACCCAACAACCGATCAATTCAATTTCACCACGTAACAGTTGATTATGTGAATTGGCCTGCTGCTACTCAAAGGGCCACACGGCATATTGCATTCTTTGATACTGGGTTCTCTGGGCCCAGCTCACTTCCCCCAAAGTCATGCAGCAGCAGCAGGAAAAAGCATTCTTAAAGTCTCTGGAAGGGTGATTGGGCTGGGAACGACAGCACACAGGGAGGAGGGGCTCCTGCTCCACCCCCACCATTTTCTCAAGCTGAAACAACTGCGGGGGGAGCAATTTGCCCTCCGTGATCAGCTTGGTGATCCAATCCCCCAGCATACACTTCAGGCTTTTTTTTTTTTAAGCAGCTGTGTTTGGTGGGAATGATTTAGAAGGGGTCTCTCCTTTCATGCCATCTTCTAACAAAAAAGACAACTACGGTTAGCTGCTATTAGCTGTAGTAGGGAAAAAGACAGGCATTTTCCTTACTGGGGATAACAAACAATTCAGGAAGGGGTGGTGTCTGTGTGGGAAATGGTGAAGTGTAACATGTAGTTTGGCTCTTTAGGACCTCCTTTGACTGCCAGAAAAGAGAGACAAGGCTATATGATGGCAGCTGGGCCAATTTAAGTCACATCCTTCCAAATCAGCTTTCTAGGACGTGCACTAGTATATAGGAGTTATCCCTGATTAGCTCAAGTAGCTTGTGAGATCCATCCCCTTCCTCTTGTTTGCTTGGTTTAATTTGGGAACTGGCTCTAGTTTCATGGCAAAGCGGCTATATTTCACAGACAACAGGATCATGCACAGATGCATCAGTACCCAATAGAGCACACTGGGCCTAAGCAAGGGACCCCAGCCTGCGTGCCCATATGAGATTGAAATGGGGCATATTTCTCCAGTCAACTTGATCATACTGCTAAGAGACACCAACACAACAGCTATCCTACGAGCAGGGGTCGTTTTGTAGAAAAAGAGCTAGGGGAACTCATTAGCATAACTCATAAGCATATGCCACACCCCCTGACATCACCGGAAGTGTGTCATAAGGCCACACCCTCTGACATCACCGAAAGTGTGTCATAAGGCCACACACCCCGCCCCCAATGGTCCTGGCTGCCGCCGTCGCCCTTGCAGCTCCACTGCCGAGCCCCATGAGGGGCCCGGCGGTGGACCTGCAAGGCCAGCAGGAGTGCAAGGAAGCCCTGCGAACCAGCTTAAACCATTCAGCTATGAGGTCTGCAAGCTTCCCTATGCACCTCAGCATAACTTCACAGCCAGTGGTCCTCACAGTGAGAAGTACAATATGCAGAAAGCAGATGAACACCTAAAGCTGCCTTACACAGCATCATACCCTTGGGACATCCAGGTCATTATTGCCTACTCTGACTAGGCGACAGCTCTCAAGAGGCCTTCGGCATCACCTCATCCTGGTAACTGCATATGGTGGGTAGCAAACCTGGGACCTTCTGCAAAGCAGATGTTCTACCCCTGAGCTATAGCCCCACTATTTCTTCCACTTGCCTTTTTTGTGGGCAGGCAGGGACATCCGCACAAAAGAGGAACAGAGCAAGTTTCCTGTTGCAGGGGACAGCATTTTCGGATTTCACACATACTGGCAAGGATTGGAGGGGGACAAGCGTACCTGTAGGTTTGTAATCTGTAGGGTTCCATTATCTAACAGACTGACTTTTGGGTCGCTGCCCACAATCCTTTGTCCATCTTTCAGCCATTGGATACTGGGCAGGGGGTTTCCGGTCACATGACACTGCAGCTGTGCTGTAGAATCTATGGCAAGGGTTTGATTGGTTGGTCCTCGGCGAATGATGGGTGGAATACGATCTGATGTCACTTTATGAAAAAAACAGAATAATAAAAAATAACAGCATAACATGACTACTGTTGTTAATGCCATTAAATACAATTTCCTTTAGTAGCAGCAGTAGACCAAAATACATTTTGAACCAATAGCCATTTCAGGTGGAAAATATTTTATGATTCAGAGCTGAAGGTTAAAGGAATGTGGGAGGAGCCTGTTCTATGTATATATGGTCACAGTGCAAACAAACATTAATTCTGGGTTAATTACCCAATGCTGTACTTACTTCGTATAAGCTATTAAAGAAAATACTATAGTACTGTGTATGTTTGTATGTGCAAAGAAACATATACACTGGATTTTGTTGTATATGGGTACAAATATTTATTTGTTTATTTATTGGATTTCTACCCCGCCTTCCCGCCAAGATGGCTCAGGGCGGCTTACAACAGTTTAAAACAACATACAATTTAAAACAACGAATACAAGATATAAAAGACAATAAATACAATAAAACTAAATGCAGTTCATTAAATAAAACTGCACTGTCTCCATTGTATAAGAAACCAAGCTCCATTTCAAAGCACAGAGAAAAATGGTGCTCTGCACAGGGCGCTGTTTGCTCTGACTAGAGATAAACCCTGAAACCTGTTTTCGGTACTGGAGCTGAATCCTGGACTATTTGAAGAAGAGCACTTCTGAGCATGTACAGACAGTGTTTTATTCAGCAGAGAACAATACAGCACATCCATCCTCTACTGTACCCTCATCATTAATGGTGCAGGTTTACAGGGCGCATGTCATGGTTTCTCATACAGACCTGAGCCCCCGTCCCTCTTTTTGTCAGAAACGAAGATGCACCCTCTACCTTCTCTGCAAGCACAACCCTCATCATTAACGGTGTAGGTTTACAGGGTGCATGTCATGGTTTCTCATACAGACCTGAGCCCCCGTCCCTCTTTTTGTCAGAAACGAAGATGCACCCTCACCTTCTCTGCAAGCATAACATTCAGACCAAAGGACTTTGTCCTCCTTCACAACAATCCACTCCTGGCTATCCTGAGTAAAAACACTGCTCACATCAAGTGGCCTGCTGCTCACCTCTGCTGCTGAATACAGGAGCAGGGAACTCCTGTGAGCTCTTATGCTCCTTTCCATTTATTTTATTTTATGTCGTTTTCATTTACAGTCTGCCCTTCTCACTGGAACCCGAGGAGGATAACAAATATGACAATATATATATATAAAAAACACCTTTCAGTCGATCAGTTAAGTGGATTACAAAATTTGGTAACGTTTGAAACTAACAGCAAAGGTTCCTAGTAAGACAAAATAACACAGTTCGGCTGGGATTGTACAACTGGGGGTGGGTGGGGGATGGGGACAGACTGCATGCAAACGTATCTGTTGAAGACAACAAGACCATCAGTGCAGTAGAGACTTTACCCCTAATAAAAGTCACTTCCTCGAGCTCCATTGCATTTATTTATTTATATCCCACTTTTCTCCCCAGCTGGGACTCAAACTGGCTTAGAACATTATTCTCCCTTCCTCCATTTTCTCGTAACAACAATCCTGTGAGGTAGGCTAGGCCGAGAGTTTGCGATGTCACCCAGTGAGCTTCTACAGTAGAAGTAGGGATTCAAACCGGGGTCTCCCTGGCTTCTACTGCGCCACTCTGTCCACTACACCACACTGGCCCTCACTTCACTGCAGCTTTGCTCATCTCCAAGAATGCCCTCCTGAACAAATCTGTCTTGCACATTTTGCAAAATGAGAGACGTGTGGGGGCCCTCCTAATAGCCTCAGTACAGGTAGCCCATTCCCACCTTGTCGGAGCCAACACAGAGAAGGCGCATGAATGGACAACTGCCGGTTTTCCACGATAACTCTCACACGTTAGTTAATTCGACATTGTACTAATTCCACAAGTAGGGCGGATGCCTGAACATTGTTTTGTCACAACTAACTAAGAACTGGGGAATGATGGTGTACACAACAAAGGCCAGTGATGCACTCCTTCTCGACCTCCTTAATCCAGAGTACCCTTTCTCGTTCCTAATCATTTCTCCAGACACTGCATGTCCTCTGGGCCTCTCTTACCACTAGTATGTTTTTATGGTGCCCCTTCCTTTTATTTCTCAAATAGGCCCAAACAGGAGGAATGCTGGAGCATTTTCAGTCTTGCTCAAGGGGGTTGGTTGCTCTCATTTCTCCACGGCTGTCAAGACGTCCATCGAGTCAGCTCTCCTCCGCCCCCCTCCAAAATTGATCTTTGCAGCATCTTAAAAGCCTCTTGCATGACAGATCGCAATTTGCCTCTTTTCTGCCATCGTAGCTGCAGGTGATGGGACTCATATCCATCAGCTTGTTTAGTAACGCATAATTAAATAGTCAATTAAAGGCAAGTATTAATTGATTACCTGGAGATGTACTGCCCGGGAACTGCAGGCAGCAGTAAATGTGTCAACACACACCTTTAATCTGAGCTATCACCTGCCTGATCCAAAGAGATGGAAAGAATTTCAGCGAGAGACTAAACTGTGGGCGGAAGGTTTCATATCACAGCTGATGTGCGCAGAATGTTCTTACCAAAAGATCAGCAAATCATTTCACTCCTTGGAAAAAACCACACTAGCGCGTAAAGGCTCCGGCCTGGAGGGCCAAGGCTAGTCCAATCTCATCAGATCTTGGAAGCTAAGCAGGGTCAGCAGCGGTTAGTATGTGGACGGGAGACCACCAAGGAAGTCCAGGGTTGCTAACCACCTGCGAACATCTCTGGCCTTGAAAATGCTATGGGATTGCCCAGGGCTTTTTTTGTAGAAAGAGCCCAGCAGGAACTAATTAGCATAATAAGCCATATCCAACAGCAGAAACTCATTAACATATTAGGCCACACCCCTGACAGCACAGCTCATTAGCATATTAGGCTGTACCCCCATGTTACCAGAAGTGTGGTTATCCAGCCACACCCACCTTTTGCTTCTTATTCTGTTTACCTTGTTTGTTGTCAAAACCCAGGGGGTTTTTTTTGTAGCAGGAACTCCTTTGCATGTTAGGCCACACACCCCTAATGCAGCCAATCCTAATGAGTTTCTGCTGTTAGGTGTGGCCTGTTATGCTAATGAACTCCTGCTGGGCGTGGCCAACTCAGGAGCCAGCCAGGACTCCGTTCCTGTGCGTTCCTGCCCAAAAATAACCCTGGGATTGGCTGTGACTTAACAGCACTTTCCACCGTCATGCAAAGAATGGAAGAAAACACCTGATGGATTTGTCCAAATGTCCACTGAATCCAGCCTTTTGTTTTCACCAGTGGCCACCCGGACGTTTCTGAAGCGCATGCAGGCAGAACTTGAAAGCAAAAGTTATCTCTCTTTTGTCTCCAGCATCTAGCATTCAGAGGTATACTTCCTCTGAACATGGAGGTTCTTTTTGGCCATCCTATCTAATGGTATGTAAGAGGAACTACGGTTGGAGGGACATCCGTTGTTGGAGGAAGACCCACTTAAGTTGGGGAAACAGCTCTGTAGGGTGGAGGAAAGCTTCAAATTTTGCTTAATAGAGTGGAAGGATACAAGGCAAGAGCAGTTGTCAGACCATTTCTTCAAGAGCTTCAAGTGCAGGAGGGTCACTTTCTCTTTCTCTCAGGACACAGAACAAAGTCTGAGTCCGGTGGCACCTTTAAGACCAACAAAGGGTTTTCCCCCACAGTATAAGCTTTCATGTGCAAGCACACTTCATCAGATACCAGATCTGATATCAGATATCAGATCTGAAAAAGTGTGTTTGCACATGAAAGCTTATACCGTGAATAAAACTTGGTTGTTCTTACAGGTGCCACCGGACTCAAACTTTGCTCTGCTGCTTCAGACCAACATAGCCACCCCACCTGAATTAGGACACAGATAGTCTTATGAAGTCCAACCATTGTACTAGACCCCCATGCTTGCTCAGAGTCTTCCTGTAAGGTATACGCAAGATGATTCATTCATTACAGAATGTGCAGGCTGGGTCTGGGATCTGTATCCTATGCAACAGGCATGAATCACAAGTTCTCCTCAGTTTGGTGTCGTAGTTAAGAGCCTGTACTCTAATCTGGGAGAACCGGGTTTGATTCCTCACTCCTCCACATGCAGCTGCCGATGTGACCTTGAGTCAGTCACAGTTCTCTCAGCGCTGTTCTCTCAAGGGCAGTTCTCCAAAGAGCTCTCTCAGCCCCACCTACCTCACAGGGTGTCAGTTGCGGGGAGGGGAAGAGAAAGGAGACTGTAAGCCACTCTGAGACTCCAAGTGAAGGGCAAGGTATAAATCCAATCTCTTCTTCTTCTGCACGTGGAATGCCAGTTTTGGGTTGAGACTGTGATGCCCGTGGAAAGAGGGCTTCAACCTCCCCCCCTCCATGCTCTGGGGAGGGCTGGTTCACTGGGGGACTGAGTCTCCTGGCTTTTGGTGGGGTCCAGCTATTGCCAGTGGATTCCGTGAAGAGCCCGGGGGTTTGGCTGGATGCCTCTCTCACCTTGGAGAAACAGGTGTCTTCAGTGGCGAGACTGGCATTTTTCTATCTCCGCCAGGCTTGTCAGCTGTTCCCCATCTGTCTCAAGTCAGACCTGGCCAGGGTGATATCTGCCACAGTCACCTCCAGGTTGGATTACTGCAACTCGCTGTATATAGAGGTGCCCTTGAGGCTGCTTAGGAAACATCAGGTTATAAAGAATGCAGCTGCTAGGTTGTTGACCAATACATTGCATACTTAAGCAGCCGCACTGGTTGCCTATTGGTTTCTGAGTTAAGTTCAAGGTGCTGGTTCTCACCTTTAAAGCCCTAAATGGTCTGGGACCTTCATACCTATGGGACCGTGTTTCCTTATATGTCCCCCCCAAGAACACTTTGTTCTTCGTCATGTGGTCTGCTGGTGGTGCCTGGCTCACAGGTGGCTCAACTGTGCTCAATGAGGGGCAAGATTTTTTGATAGTGGTCCCTGCCTGGTGGAACTCTCTAACAGCTGATATCCAGGCCCTGCAGGATCTTTCTA